ATAGATATGAATGAGTGGGACTGATTAAATATTTATAATACTTATAATGCAGGAGGTGGTGATGGAGATTCAGGAGCTGCCTGGTATCACAAGATTCCTTCCTAAGATACTCCTGGCCATCACTGTGACCATATGTGATGAAGTGTATAAGAAGATTGCCTACTGGCTTAATGACATGGGTAAGAGACACAACATGAACTCTCTGGGCACAACACTGAACATAGTATCTCTGTGATGTATTGTAGAATAATTACTTTTAAGAAATTAAATTAAAATGAGACATGTTTATCCATGACTGTATTATAGGGTAGGCATGTATGAGTATATTTTATAAGAACTGATGTAGGAAGCTTTTGGCTATGAGGTTCCTGTCTTTAAGACTCTCTATAAGAGGTCTATGAACAGCCTTTCTATATTGACTAATGCTCCTCTTTTATTTCTCAATCCAGAGAACTACAGACTTCAGAGTGCCTATGAGAATAATCTCATCATCAAGATGGTTTTTGTAAGTAATGCATCCTCCTCTTCTGTTTGTGGCAGAATAGAGAGGATTCATCTTGGCTGAGTGGGCGTTTGACTTTGTGTAATGTCTTCTGGTTGTGTTACAGTTTGAATTCATCAATTCTTACCTTAGCCTTTTCTACATCGGATTCTACCTCAAGGACATGGAGCGGCTTAAGGAGGTAACAACGACTGTTGGGAGTATCACAAAATGCTGGTCTTACACTGACTATTTTTAAAATAATGTTTAAAGTGGCCATTGGCTGTCTGATAAGCCCCCTTAGTTACAGTTGCTATGTCTGCCTCTCAAGCCTTTCAACAGCACATGGCTCATGTGCTGTTTACAATGATGATGGTGCCAATTTACGACTTGAAATTCTTAGTCACTCTGAAACAATGGGTCCTTGATATCTGAGGCAGACAAAAGCCGACTTCTCAATTTTGGTTTGAATGAAACAAAATTGTTAGCTGTCTCCGGCCGACTTTTGATATTACCATCTGACTCGTTTCAAAACGAGGAATCTTGTAAAAGTGCTCTTAAAAACACACTTGATGGCTACAGACATGATACTGTGCTCAAAGACTGAGGCTGATGCTGCAACTCCAGGACAAAAAGTCAGTATCCTCACCAGTCAATGATCCATGAAGAACGCATGCAAATGAAGAAAATGCATTGATCATCAGGACAGTGTAGAGCTCGTGGGTTCTGGCATATGACAAGGAAAAATGTATAGATCATACTCCTATTTACTCCCTATCGTCATAACCCTGCTTGACTGGTTAGTTTATCTAATTGTTGTGTAGCCTACTCATAATTTCAAACAGTATTTTACTTTAAATGTTCCAAGATTTAAAGGCTTTTTGTAAGGTTGGCTGGAGTCGTCCACAAAAGAGCAGAATAGAGTTGTCGAATGCTGATAGCATCCAGGAACAGCTGCACAGTGGTGAAATGCTGCACTGTACATGCTGCTAATAACATAACCTGTAACATAAAGCTGATGTAGTTACATTGGCTAATGATACCCTTGCTCAGTTACTGCAGTAGGTACAGTAAGCTAGTTAACCAGCTAAGAATTACAGCTTAAAATCATCTTAACAGATGTTTTCCTACTCCACACAGATGCTAGCCACTCTGCTGATCTTCCGCCAGTTCCTACAGAATATCAAAGAGGTCCTCCAGCCTTATCTCTACGAGCAAAACAAGCTGGGCGTCTTCACGCCCAAGGTGCTGTGGGAGCTACTCCAAACCATCACACTCAAGTACGGCCGCCTGGCTCTCGGAAAAGCTCAAGCCTCAATGACAGCCTATTCCTTCCTGGGTCCCAGAGGGATCCCTGTCAGTCACACTGCTAACGGTAACCCAGAGCCAAAGAGAAGAGGAGATCTGAAAGCCGGATTCAGGCTGACGGAAGAAGAGTGGGACATGAATGACAGCAATCTAAAGCAGCGCAAAGTCAGCTTCACCGAGAAGGTCGACTACCAGGATGTCACGACAGAAATGCAGACAGTGGATCGCAGCTTCCTAGAGGACAGTCCCACAATGGTGGAGGAAGGGATGGATCCGTCCAGTATTTTTGACAGTTGTGATGAGGACAGTGATTGTGAATCGCTGGCTCAAGTATGTGGTTTGTTTGTTTTAAATGATTTACTATATTTTGTTCGCTATGTTCCTTTGGCTTTGACTTTTCAGAAATATGTCATTATGTTCAGACAATACCAATTCTTACAGTTCAATTTATCTCATGTAGTTTTACAAATGAAGTTATATCATGTCTGTAGAGACTGATGTCATTCATTCAGGAAGTACACCGAGAGATCAGAATGAAACTATCCAATTTAAAAGCTGCAGAATTTAAGATGTCTTAGGAGTCACTAGAGAAAGTATCGTAGACCAAGGAGTATGTCTCTGTGTCCTCTCCAAAGGAATCGGACTCTCTCTGTCAAAGAAGAAGGAACGTTGGTGAAGGGAAAGAGCATAAGAAGTCATGGATTGATCCACCAGAAGAACCCAAAACCGTCACTCTGACCCAGGCTGAGATTGAGAGCTGTATGCAGACATATGAGGTGGGACTCTTGCTATGAGGCAAAGAAATGCAAATTTTACTTTTTACAAACTATCTTGTATCATATAACATCATCTATATCTGATGTCACCACAGTGTACCCTTTAAAATACCAATATGTTTTCATGATATTTGACCCCAACAGGACACGCTTCAGGACTACCAGGAAATGTTTATCCAGTTTGGGTATGTGGTGCTCTTCTCCTCTGCGTTTCCGCTGGCGGCCATGTGTGCTCTTATCAACAACATCATTGAGATCCGCAGCGACGCCCTGAAGCTCTGTACCGGCCTGCAAAGACCCTTTGGACAGAGGGTGGAGAACATCGGACAATGGCAGGTCAGTGTGTTTTTGTTTTGTCAGAGAAGCCCTCCAGGCTGCATTGTACATAACGGGGGCATCTGATAGCCTGTGAATTTCTCTCTCTCTCTTTCTCTCAACAACAGACTGCAATGGAGGCCATGGGCTTGATAGCAATTATAGTTAACTGTTACCTGATTGGTCAGTGTGGGCAGCTACAGCGCCTGTTCCCCTGGTTGAGTCCTGAGATGACCATCATCTCCATCGTCTTACTGGAGGTATGCACTGCACTGTGTACAGTAAAGGCAGGTTTGTTTTAGAGTTTTGAAAGACTAGTTTTATTCCCCAAAATGACACTTTTTAAAATATTCCAAAAGGAATGCAAATGTGCATGGCCTGCTTTTTTTTTTGTGACTTTGTAAAACTTTCAAAATGTTTTTTTTTGATCCAGGTTTATTAATGAACACAAAACCTCACACGGGTTTTTGGTATGTGTATGACGTGTTGTTTGGTCTGTACAAAAATATATATATATATATATATATTTATACAAGAATAAGAAATATAATGTGTTTGTGCCTTGAGGTAACTGTGTGTTGAGCCTGTCCCTTTGTGGTCTCGGTGGTTTACAGCACTTTGCAATCCTCCTAAAGTACATCATCCATGTTGCCATCCCTGATATCCCTGGCTGGGTAGCAGAAGAGATGGCCAAGCTAGAGTACCGACGAAGGGAAGCTTTCAAGGTATCGTTGTATCATAGCTTGAAAGACCTTCGGGCAACTTAAGGCTTGCTGCTGGCTGCACCCATTTTATAACGTATTTCTGTTTACGTACCCCTTTGTGTCCCTGGGTCTCTTGGTGTGCATTGTCCAAAAATCTACACTAGTGCAGCTTTTTCTGACTGTCCATAAGAAAATGTGTGTGCTTGCCGATGTTTGTCTGTACAGTGTTGTATCACATCAGTGGCACTCGATGGTGTCTTAGATCAGTCTCGTCAGGATAGAAAAGCACATTTAGTGTAAGCAGCTTGTTGTGTTAGCTTACTGCTGGATAAGATGGCAACTTCTTCATCAGTGACTATGCAAAATGAGAGTTAACACAGATCTGAAGAAAGCTGTAATTGCTAGCAATGCTACCTCACATGAATTAATACTAACTTATATTCCTTATGCAGTCTTCTCCTCTCTTTCCTTGTGTAGTTCACTGTCTTTGTTCCTGTGACTCTTTCTCTATCTCCCCTCTTCCGTGTCTCCATTTTTAAAATGCCTCCCTATTTAGAAGCATGAGCAACAGGCCCAGCAGCACTTCCAACAGCAGCTCAGACGCAGGCGTGAAGAGGAGGAGCTTCAGCGTCAGGCTGAGCTGCAGGCCGAGGCCCGCCAGGAGAGCGAGCACAGGGCGGACGCACAGCACCAGCACCACCACGACAAAGCACCGGGGGGCAAGGCAGGGGACAAGCCTAAGAGACCCAGCTCTCTGCTGGGAAACAACAATGTCATGAAGCTGAAGCAGATCATGCCTCTCCAGGGGAAGTTTTCCTCCAGCAGCTTGCGCTCACCTGCCCAGTCCCCAACAGGAGGTGAGGCAAAGCTGCCAGGATTTCTGAAGTTCCTGAAGTCACCTGAGGGGAAAAAAGAGCCGGCAGCAGCAGCTGGAGGGCCCGCCTCAACGGTGACCTCTTCTGTTCCCCCTAGTGGCCAGGAGAGGTCACAGTCCCCCAACAGGACATTCAGTCCTGGGAAGCTGTTCAGTTTCAGCAAATCAGAGGGGACAGTGGTGTGTGTGAACGGGACACAACCAGCGCCACAGCCCGCCAGCACTCAGCCCAACAGGGGAGACGTAAACACAACCCTGGAGGAGTTGCCCTCAAACGAGTCAGATAAAGGAGAATCAAGACAATTGACTGATTTAGAGAACTCAAAGAGTTAATACATGTCCAACCATACCGATGTAATATTATTATGAGGGGAGCAATGTACAAATGTTTAAGAAAACCTTCAGACACACCTGTACCGTAGGAGAACACATTAGTCACAAGGACCAAACGTAAGGTCAGCGTTAGACTTTCATTCTTGATGCAACTTATTTCACACAAAGTATTATACGGTCTCTGTCAACGCTTGATTATCTAGCTTCCATGTAAAATATGTTCAGTGGGTGTAACTCCTTGAATGGGGCTTGAGTGACATTTACTTAAGGTTAAAATACTGCATGAGTGCCTGGTTTTCAATAGCACCAGATTGTTGATGTGAGGGATCTTTTTTTTTTTTTCCAAAAACCAGGACTTGATCACCAATGAGCCCTCTTATCAAAGGACATGAACAGCAGCTCCCCGTTCCAGGTTTGTTTCTCATTCTTATGCCTGTATTGAATGCATGTTGCGTCGTGTGCATGCATGACATGTCCATCATGTCTTTTCAGTTGTGAAGCACTTTTGAAGCCATCATATTCTTCCGCAATAGGTCAAATTATATTCACTGTGACCATAAAAAATACTCTATTTTTCTTAACTTTCATTTTCTATGAATTATTTTACTACATAAATTAGTGAATGTACTTCTATGATGCAAATAAATCCCACTTGAATAAACATCTATCAAGAGATAAGCATTGGCTAATTCTGTTTACAGTAAACATTACTGGATGGGAGATGTTTGCTGGGTTGATATGGTTCCTGGAAAGAGGACATGTAAACTAGATTTTTAAGGAAAATAACACTGTCAACAGAACATTTACACTCTTATCTAGATATGCACCTATTTGCCAGAAGATCATTTTCAATTAAATTTGTACAGCATTTCCTCAAAACCCTCCAATACACGCTAGGTTATTTTCTTCACTTCCACACAAAAAATGTTGCCATTAACTTTGAGTAATAGTCTTTACTGTATATGTCCTACTGTAATCTTTATAAGAACGAGATCTGAAATTGACAATACATTTATACATAAACTCAAAAGCAAAGCATCCAACAATAAACACATTCCAAGCTTAATTAGGTGATAGAATACAAACCGTTTGAGAAGAGTAGAGTTCGCACTCTTCTAGAGAACCAGGACAATAAAACTGCATGTTTCTGGTTTAAACTCATACTTGAGAAACGTATTGTATTCTAACTACGTAAGCAGCCAACCTGCACATATACTCTGTAAATCTTCTAACAGCAAAATGTATCTAAAGTAAAAATGTGCATTAATAGACTCAACTGTCAGTCGTGACAAACATTGCTGAAAATTTGCAGCAGATTTGTCTTTATAGATGCGCAAAAAGTGAGGTTTCTAAAAGTGCAAAGAAAATTAAGCAAAATTGACTGAACTCTGGCTTGTATCCCTCCAATGTCAAGAACAAATTGTCTAAGCAAAGTGAAATAACAGTATGGTTAACCTGGTGAAGACAAAAATCAGAGCGAGTCGTCTTGTTACCTGATAAAAGGGTCGGAACAATCACAATATACATACTGTACAAATATACAAGACTTTACGATGAGCTTCACCGACTGTGTGAACCGCAAACAGACTTTATTTAGTCCTGCTGTCCAAAGCTTGTAAAGCCACACACATTTCCCCATTGACAGCAGTCCTACCCAGCAATACGGCTACATTTTAAATTTACACATACCTGCAGTCCTCAGCTCTTCCATAAAATATTGTGCAAACGTTGTAATTACAAAGATACACACACTGCTTATAAAGTGGTGATCTCAAACTACTGAGCATCAAACTTAGAACATGGCTACACAATCTGTAGGTCTTCCTGTACAAAAACAGTTTGCATCCTCCGGTATGACTCTATTGGCTTGAATGTGTCTCAATAGACACGCTAACATCCATTCAGCTCACTTGTGGTTCACTTCTTCAACTGAAACAACGACATGAACCAAGGGGGTTACTCTAAGACGTAGTTATAATACACTTACTTCCATTCAAGGCAATAAATCAATATTCATCAGGAGAAAACAAGAACATTTCTTTCGGCACCCGTCCATAACAAACCCTGAATGGATGATTAAATCTAACGAACGATGCCAGTAATCATAAAGGATGAGCCAAAATAACATTTTATAGACCACCGTAGTTACGTAGTTCAAAACTAAAAGATTATACTGGAGTAGGAGCAACAACAGAGGGCATGCCACTTAACCAATAGACTTAAATTAATATGTGCATATCTCAGAGAAGCTATGAATAACTACAGCTGTAAACCCTCCCCAAAGGACCTACACGTTTAAAAGAAACAGTGTGAGCTTAAGTGAAGGAAAATCAGAGAGAATGAGGAATCAGGAGGTAGGTGTTATTTTCAAACCACAAAAGACTGAAATTTGAGGCAGAGGTGCCTTGGAACAAAAGAAAATAAATTGTGGAAAAAAGGTTTTGGTTGAAGAGGAATTCTGAAGTAAAACATGAATACCAATGTTTTATGACATTAATATCATGCCGGCTATGGTCTGAAATGGATCAATCCCTGTGTGCGTCAGTGTCAAGGCCTGGGTTTGCAAACATATGTTCAGCATCTGTGTAATAGGTCAGTCTCTGCTGGGTGCGCGTCAACAGCACAGCAATTCACGAATCCTCATTCTGCTCCCGACTGTCTGTTCTGGCAATTTTCCGTGGAGGCGCCGTGTTCTCCACCTCTCCTTCTTCCTGCTCTCGTTTCTTTGCTGTATTCTGATAAAGTAAGAAGAAGAAAAAACTTTTAACAAACCACGACCACTAAACACAGGATATTTTATGGTCATACAAAATGAGCACCAACTTTCTCCTAAATGACATTAACTATCTTTAAAAATGTGTACCTTTTTATCCCACTGTTGATGAAGATATCGCAATAGGATGTTTGTCTTCTCTGTGACAATGACTGAGGAGATAAAACACAAACACCGATTACATCAAGAGAGACAAGAGTGTAGTTGAAATCAGCTGTTCCCTTAGAGAATAATAACCTAAACAAGTTGAGTAATGACTCCACTGTCGACCTGGAACTGAAGGTGATTTCCCCTAATGGAAGACAGAAACTGATGCAACTACTGATATAACTAATATATTATATTTCATCAATGTAGACTGTGGGCTCTGTAAGCATATGTTTAATGCACTTACTCTGCTCTGATGGATATTCCCGTGTTGGAAGATACACAGATGGTCGACGGTTCTAAAACAACAGTTCAATGCTGGTTAGATTGATCTCAGACAAAGTATTACCACGTGACAAGATATTTATGAATTCACAAGACACTGACAACATGATTTTATCTCAGCATTTTTTGGGGGGGGAAAAAAAGTTGACTCACTGACGCTTTACATAGAGAGTCTGCGTGGAACCTGCTGAAGTTATTTTTGTTGTAGACAGGTAGTCCTTTCAGGAAATCTGACTGTGAGCAGAACATCACAAGAAAATGTGAACAGACCACTTCCGGGTAGTGAGACCAACTAACGTTACCGAAGCTATAGCTAGGTAGTAGAGAACCGTTTACTCCTTAACGTTAGCTGGTACATGTAACTAGATAATGTTGACAGCGAGTAAGGTAACATACAGCCTGCTTTCAACAACGCAATGTTAACGCAACATGTCTATCGAAGCCGAAAGGAACCAGCTATTTAACATCTATACATACATAATTAGAACTAAGAAAAGAACAAGCTGTAAACCAAACGTTACCTTCTCCATTTCTGTCGTGTTCACGCTCTTTGCTTGTTAGTTAGCTGGAGTGAAAACGAGCAGACGTTACTTAGCTAACCTAGGTAGCTACTAAGCCTTGTTGTCTTTGTCGTAGCTAAGATACCTGTATGTTTACCCGTCTGACAGCTTCTATAAAACCTCAACTATGTATGACTTCGATATGACCGCATCACGCCACTTCAATCAGCTGGTAACTTCCACTCTTTTAACGGTAATTACACACAAACTGAAATTGAACGTCATCTGGAAGCTAACTTGCTACTAGTTCACAACTCCATCTTTGTTGTTTAGTCTGCTCGTGGGCGGTTACTTTAGATTCAACGCACCTCATTGGTTGAACAGTGGTGGATGCGTGAAGTGACAGAAGAAGCAATGCGCTGATAGGCTAGAAAGAGATTATGTAACAGACCAATCCCCCAGTACAAGCTGGTAATGGCCTGAAGCTCTGAAGAGAACAACACAAGTACTTTCTACAGCATGCCCTCCATGTTCATTATGTATTTATCTCTCTACATGCTGTTGCTTCTCGCAGTTTTGAGTTGAGCAGATGGACGTGCGTCGGTAAAAATACTGATTCAATAGAATCTGAACAATAGCAAAACAACCCATACTCTAGAACTTTTATTGTCGATATTTAAGTGTTCATATACAATGCAGAAATGAGTATCTGGACATCAAGGGTACAGATACAACTTGAAGCAGTTAATTCTTTAAAATCTGCTCATACCAAAAACTGTAAAGTGTATGGGCTAAATCAGCTGTCTGCTAATTAATTACTTGCAAATTTCCAAAAAAGGGAAATGCTGTTAAAGTGGGAATCCGAGAGAATGTCATTTTTTTCCCTTACCGTGTGTTATTCTGGCATGTGACATGATCAATTAATGCCTCCATTTCTATCCTTGTCTGGTTTTTAGCTGTCATAGCTTCTCATTTTCAACAATATTTGGGCTTGAAAATGAAATGCAACTAATGGAGTGCTGGGTCACTCTGCCTGATGTGAGAGAGGACCACAAGGACCTGCTCTCTGGAAGTATACTTCCACCCAGCAAGTAACTCTTCCTGTATACTGCCTTCAGTTGAATAAACATACAACTTAACCACCACAAAAAGTAGATGGCAGCTCACTCATTTTGTCTTTGAATCAAATAACTTCACACAAGCAAAAAAGACTTCTGACAACATTTAATAATGATATGAACAAAACTTTATGGATAAAGAATAACTGGGTGAAACTACAAGGCTTCTTTTTGCTCAAGGCAAATGTTGTTGAAGGCCCGTTTTCCCCCTCCCGCCCACTAATAATGCAGGAAAGCCAACCCAACCCACACCCAGTATCACCAGTTAACCCAATACACAACGTTTGCTGAGCAATGGCAGCATTTCTGAACCAATGTCTGCTTTCTGAAAGTCTTTTCCATCAAGGTCCTTCAGTGCGAGAGTGATTTCCGTCCCTTTAACATGCGGCGCAGAATCACCTCGATGCCACCTTGTGAGCTCATCCTCTTGATCCAGCCGTGGGTCCTCTTGCGCTTGATGTTCTTGGGCTGATACTCTGTGCCTCTCTTCCTTGTCCGCACCTGCTGGTATTGCCACGGAAGCTGCCTGAACACGCCTGAACCCTCAGCTTGTGAAGAAAGTGGCCCACATCTGGAAATCTGAGGTCCTGCAGCTGCTCGGGGCACAATCCAGTTGCTGAACAATCTAAGGTGAGAGTTGCCAGTTACTGCAAGGTTCCCTGCAAGGAAGCTGTTGACAGATCACAGATGTTATAAACAAATGTTATTCTTTAATATCAACATTACGCCACAATTAAAACAAGTTGTAATACATTTATGATGCTGCTGCTTATGTGTGGAGTATCCTCATGCTCGGATCCCATGCCTCGGTTATCGACACAGTGATGAAATGTACAGATTGAAAACACATTTTAACTACCAGATTATTAATGAAACAATTGCAGCAAAATACAGATGTAAATCAATACCGTCGTCCATGATATGTTGATATTAACTTTATTAGCCATCACTAAGCTATAATTGAATTAGCCATGACCTAACTTAATACAATTCTGATTAAGTAGCCATGCTGCTAACGCACTGCTTAGCTAGCTTGCTGGTGTTAGCATCGTAAACAAACATTAGCTTTTACCGTTCGACTAGCATGAAAATACACAAACTCAGTTACCTGGTGGAATTGCGTAGTCCACACAGTCGGGAAACAGACGACCGTATGATGTTCATCTTTAGATATTTATACAGTTGACACAGACATGGGAACGGTGAAAGTCACAGGTCTGTCAGCTCCCTGCGAATATGAAGCAAGATGATTGGCCCAGATTTTTCAGCCAATTGAAAGGCTTGTTGCTGGAACTATTGTGTTTTAATGCCCTGAATAGCGTTTTTCAGGTTAAACTTTCGAGAAGTTTACCGATGGACACACACCATGTTTACCAATAAAACTGTTTATTGGCCAGGATAAAGGCTCTCGCTTTAACAGGCATGGTTTGAGATTATAGTGTCTGCCAGACGGGGGATACTAAACTCGGTAAGCAATGGGATTTGTATACAGCCTGATCGGACTTACTGCCTGAGAAGTTGAACATAAAGTAGGTTACTAACAAATGTTTGAAAGGTTATGTTTGGATACATTATTTCAACACACAATGAGCATGCGTATAAGAGACAATTGGTATGCAGATCACTGGGCAGGTTGAACATATTTATATTTTATTTCTTCATGACAAATATGAGATTGTATGAGAGGATCGGTTTTAGGAATAATGATTGTCTTTCGAGGATCAGGTCAAACCACAAAAGAGAAAACTTTAAGTTCTGGTCTAAGTACAAATACAATTCAACACACATATTGTGTATTGTAAATTGTACGAGTTGCACATTGAGTGTCGTTGGGTCTCAATAAGGAATATGCCCTTTCTTTGCCTAATTTGTTCACTGATGTTGGATGCAATACTTCCCTGTAGTGCTGTCTGGCATGTTAATATGCCTAATTGTTTTTCAGCCTCATTAAGATAAACATAAAGTAGTTATTGTTATTCATATCGAGCACTAAACAATAACAGAAACCGTTGTTTGCTCAGGCTCTCCGCCCCATAAACTGTCACGGCTGGTACTTCCGTGGCAGGCACAGGCCTGTCCCACTTGTACCAGAGTGTTGATGTGAGTTCAAGGGAAACGGAGAGACTCGGCACATCTTCATCTAAAAGGTCATTTCTCCCTTCAGTGACGCAGCATCTGCCGTAACATGGATTTTAAGGTGTCAGTGTATTTTGATGCAGTGAAGACGGTTTGAACGCAGGTGTAGGAAATTGACATGTTGGATCACACATGCGGGTCTGGTCGTGGTCATGTGTCCTTCTATGTAGATAATTAGCTGGACTATCATTTTGACATTTCTGTCACTCTGCCTGACCGAAAGCGCGCGCGCGCGTTCACACGCAATTCGCTGTTCTGTGTCAGCCTTGGCAACAAGGAAACAACCCTCTCCCATTGGCCCCCTCTCAGTGTTGAGCTGTTTGCTATTCGCCCTCCTCACTGCCACTCAGAAGCCCAAAAAAACATGCCCAAAGACTGCTGCAGATACAAGGGCGGCGGGGCTGGTCTGAGTGCGCAGTGGATGCTGAGGGAGAAAAACGTCGTTTGTTATCGTTATGAGGGTCTTATTGCGATGCAAACACCACGCTTTTATGGATTCATGCTTTATCGTCAATTCAAGCACCGCCGTGTTCTGTGATAGTCTCACGAGACCAATAAGAAGTGTTTATTATTTTGCAGCATCTCTAGCGCAGACAAATTGTTGCACTAAATGCAACGTTTTCTCAGTTCAGTTTCGTCGGCCCTCTTCTTTCGTTGCAGAACTCTAATCACCCTAAATCATCAGTAATTCTGCAGGTAAGGAATCGATTTGTATTGCATTGTGTTGTCTAATTGGATAATGTGTATGGCACAAATGCATGCTTAATTAATGATGTTGATAGTCATCAACATCATTAAATAGCTGCACAATGACTGCATGCATCTGTTTTGTGACAGAGTAAATATAATAGACCTATCAATAATATACACGCAGCAATTATGACCCTCTTCACCAGACTGCCACTGGATTTTTAATATGTTTAATTTTGTGATGCGACGTTGTGCATGTATTAATTATTGAGAATAGCCCACAAACAATACACAATTGTGCACGTCAAATTGTTGAAATATAGTACCTACTACTGCTGTTTCTGGCTTGTTATTTATTGGCTTGATATATCTATTTCATAGGCTTGCAGAACAAGCTAAGCTAAAAGACATTGTTGCATTAGGCATTTTAAACAGAAAGTAGGGGATAATGGTCTATCTTTTGCAAATATACGCATTAAATGTGCAGCGATCATGTCTGAGTGCGCCATTGGCTACTGTACTGTGTGTTGTGGAATTAGAGCAGCACACTGTGTACCAAATGTGTGTTACTGTAAGACTTGGCAGACATATCAACCTACATATTCTGCAATGCAGACAAAAAAAATCACATGGATGAGTAACCTTCAGCTTCTTTGACTTTGGAGGGTTTGTGGATCTGAGAAACTGGTCCACTTGCGCCCCTCAGGCATATTCAAATCATGTTGATCGATATCGGTCAGGAGGAGAATCCCTGGGTTAGATGACGGGGCTGTTTTGTCAGTGCTGATGTAGTTTTGTGTTGATGAGGTGTAGTGGCACCTCTAAGGTAGGGTCATCCAAACTGCTAAACATGGTCAGGTGACGTCCTGCTACATTGTCAAAATAGTCGCCCATGTACCACTTGTATGTATGTATGTATGTATGTATGTATGTATGTATGTATATATATATATATATATATATATATATCATAATGAGGACACGATGCAGAATTGATACTTTTGGATGTTTGTGGATAGACAGGCCTCCCAGTCAACATTCACTTGGTCCGGGTGAACCTGGATAGTACTTGATGTTCTGACCTTCAGACCACCCTGCCACCAAAAACAACACCACACATGCGCGCGCAGACCCATGCACACATGAACTCCCCTCAGGTATAGGCTTAGGTAAACCAGCTCCATTTCCCCCTCACTGTAGTGCCAGACATCTAAAGCACCAAGCTTTACAAGACTGTTTCATTATGATGATATATATTCAACCCATTAAGGTAAAAATAATTATGTATTCAAAGTATTTATTATCTGAAGAGACCTAGATGTTATGCATTCTTATTAAGAAGGAAGACTGGAGCCATGATCTAAACTACATGTCTTATAATATGCTAAGAGCAGTAATGTGAAATATGCCCTGAAGGCAGTAATCTGCAGTAACTGGGCTCTGTTTCACTCTGTTTTAACCGGGACACAAGGACACCTTGGGCTTCCATATAGATGTAAATCATCCCACTCTGTTTCCTAGAGATAACCCTCACAGGCTGGTTATGTATGAAAAATGAAGACTAATAATGCTTTACTTGCACAACTGCCAAAATGCAGTTTAAAAAACAAAAATGGTTTTCCACTCATCTCCATTGGAAGCAGTATAGCTTGGAAAACTGCCATCATGCTGTTATGAGACATACAGTTCACTGGCATGTACAGGGTCATGCCATATGACTGGTGTTTTCTATTTATATATCCTGCTTCTGACCATGTGAAAAGGAGGGGTTATTAATAGCAAACGTCTAAGTCCGTATGTAAATACTCCGTCGTTACTGACATTGAAACTGTAGCACAGTACAAGTATTGTTTTTATGTTGTCTGTTCATGAACTTGGAATCCTTGAACACTGCTTTGTCACCCAGGTGAGTGAGTTAGTCCAACTCTGCAACGGCTGTTGGAGCTGCACTTACACTTGCTACGGTAGTTTGAATTTGCAAAGCAGTGTTGAGTCCATTCAACTGAAACTGTCCGTGCTCTTGGTGTGTTTCATTTCGCTCAACGCTGGCTGTGGTCTGATGATAGGATAAAGAAGACCGTTTCATTGTAACTGCGTTGCTAGGAAACAGCTTGGGTCCAATTTTGTGACAACCAAGCTGGGACCCAATGTCTTCCTGTTGAGCTGTTGACATTCTCAAACACTGCGACAGGGAAATAAACCTGAAAACATTCATAATGCATATGTTTGAAACTGTGAAAAAAAAATCTGTTGTGAAAAGCTGAAGAAGGTTAACACGCTTCCGACACATTGTCTATTTTTCCCTTTTGTCGTTTTCATAAACCTACGTAATCTTTTTTTTATTTTTTAATCTCAAATGAAGCATCTGAGTAATGAGCTGCTTTATTGTGTCTGTGTGATGTTGTTTGTGCAGGGAAGCATCATGCTGACCAGTATCACTGAAGGGATACTGTGTTGCCTGACTGGGAAGGTTGCCAGTCTGGTCTTGCCCCTCGAGTCGACAGAACCCTCCGATGGTTTTGAGTTTGTGGAGGTGAAACCTGGTAGAATCCTGCGAGTGCGGCACATCATCCCTGAGCGTCATCCGGTAGTAACCGAAGAGCAAGTTGCAAGCAAGGAAAAGAAGGATGGCGATGATGATGACAGCTCTCCTGAGGATTGTAACGAGAGCAACACTGGCAGCAGTGTCCACTGCAAGAGGAAGATCACAGTCTACCGCAACGGCCAGCTGGTGATTGAGAATCTCGGTGATGCTTTGCATTCTGAGATCCTGCAGTGTCAGAATGGAGATCTGGAGCCTTGCAGCACCGTAGAGGTGGAGCTGGCTGACTACAAAGAAATGCCCTCTTCCCCAGACCCCAATCTTGTTCCTCCTCCAGTTCCTCCATCTCTTGGAGAACAGAAACCTGCTCCACCTCCTCGCCGCCGCCGTCGCAAGCCCAAGCGCACGGTGCAAATCGACTCAAAGAGGGTGATCTCAAGCTGCAAAGGGACGCACTCGGACGTAGCGCTGTTCTTCGTGCACGGTGTGGGAGGTTCTCTGGACATTTGGGGCAGCCAACTGGACTTCTTCTCTCGGCTGGGCTATGAGGTCATCGCGCCCGACCTGGCGGGGCACGGAGCCAGCACTGCCCCACACATTGCAGCAGCTTATACTTTTTATGCTCTTGCAGAGGACCTTCGTGCCATCTTTAAGAGATATGCTCGTAAACGCAACATTCTCATTGGCCACTCATATGGGTGAGGATTTGTGGCATGCCTTTGTTATAAATCATTCACCATATCGATCTATTTAGTAAAGATTAACATGCTGCTGTTAACATACTGTACCAATCTCATTCTATCTCTTCCAGAGTTTCATTTTGCACCTTCCTGGCACACGAATATCCTGATCTGGTCCATAAGGTGGTGATGATCAATGGAGGGGGTCCCACGGCTCTGGAGCCCAGCCTGTGTTCCATTTTCCAGCTGCCATCGTGTGTCCTTCACTGTCTGTCACCTTGTCTGGCCTGGAGCTTCCTCAAGTAAGATCTGCATTTGTGTGGTGCCAAAATTGACAACCGGAGACAATGACACACCACAGTCACTTCTCTCGTTGCTGAAAGAAATGACATAGAACAGCCTAAAATTAACTTCCCTCTCTTCTATTATCCTGAACTTCAGGGCTGGATTTGCCCGTCAGGGTGCCAAAGAAAAGCAGCTGTTGAAGCAGGGCAATGCCTTCAATGTGTCTCCGTTTGTCCTGCGAGCCATGATGAGTGGCCAGTACTGGCCTGAGGGGGATGAGGTCTACCATGCCGAGCTCACTGTGCCTATCCTTCTGGTTCATGGCATGTGTGACAAGTTTGTGCCCATGGATGAGGACCAGCGCATGGCAGAGGTAAAGCACATCTTGATTCGTCACGTAAAGTTTCCGTTGTTTGCTCTGCAGTGTTACCTGTTGTAATGTTCTGCCTTCATTTTGGCTCCCTTTCTAGATCCTTCTGTTTGCATTCCTAAAAGTCATTGAGGAGGGAAGTCACATGGTCATGATGGAGTGCCCTGACACTGTCAACACCCTCCTCCACGAGTTCTTTCTATGGGAGCCAGACATGTCCAGAAAAGACCGCATCAAGACAGACACAGCTCTCAGTGACACTCTCCACACACTGAAAATCAATAAGCCTATGGACAAATAACCCACAAGGAGTCTAGTTTTATTACACAACCAAGCAGAAGGCCTTTTGTGGCTTGTATTCTTAAGACTGCTACCAGGCTGAGTGCTGTTATAAACAGGGCCACATCTTAAGGATGCAGACGGCCACTGGTGCTCCAAGATAAAGCAGGACTTATAGGCATAGCGCCGACCAGAGAACGGTGGAACGAACATAAAGATGAGAGGAATGGATGCAAATACACAGTCAGTTTCCGCTTCGCTTTTTGATACCAGTTTGTGGTCAATTGTGTCACGTTTGCAAAATGACACAATACCTGGAGGACTATGTCAATTTGTGATTTGTGTTTGAAATATATCTGGCGAAGAACTGACTACTGCAAGATGCAGAAAGCATAAAATACATGAAATGGTGAGTGACTTCCCTCACGTTAAAAATATTCTGTAAAGTACAGCAGAGCTTCTGTTCAACCTTTACAAAATGTTTATTAACTTATCGTTGGGCCCGTCTTGCATTTGCTTTCAGTGGGAAACTTGCAAAATGATGTGTTTTAAATTGAGGATTTACAGATCTGACTGCTGGTTTGCCAGTAGAGTGAAGGACCGCTGATCGTAAAACTCGGAACTGTTGATAATAATAGTTTATTATCAAATACTGACTGGATAACAGTGGGACATGGGTCAAAGTCATTAAATATATTCCGATATACATGCTAAATATAATGAATAATTTCACCACATGCATATACAAATTACGTCATGAACAAAAAATATATATATATATATATAATTGTTCACCTGCAATCCAGCCATCTGTTGACCACGTACAATGTGAAGTGTACACCGTTTCAAACATAAAGACTCACAATCACAGCTATTGTCAATAAAATGTTCCAAATTACAATATATTTTCCATATATTGAACTCTAATATAAAATCTAACTCCAGAAAGCTATGTGTGCCTATGTTATCAATTCACAGTTGCATGAAAATTAAGTAATATTTAATGAGGAATTTATGTGAACTGGTTGCCAAAACAGATGTAAACAAACATGGATGCCAAAAGGTTCTTCTCCTTCATTCTAGCAGCCATTTCTGCAATAGTATATAATATCCTAAGGATACAAAGTACCGAGGCCCTGTATGAGTTCAGAATATGAAAAGGTGAGAGGGTTGTGTCAGTTGCAATATATTCTTATATTGAAAAAATTCCCTCTGCACTCATCTCTAGTCAAATGACTGTCCCTTTTAATGTGTAAGTATTATTTTTGCCTTTTATTTAAAAAAAATAGCAACTGCCATAACAAATTGTGGTTGTATTGACCGCTTTAAGCTGCCGAGTGTGTTCCCCTACTCCTCTTCAGTCTATCCTATTTATCTCATAGTATCAGACAGAAAGAATGAGCTAAACATTATGCTCACTAAAAGACATTCATTGATGGGTGCTGCTTTGTCTCATACTGGGACAGTCAGGTGTGAGTAAAAGCACAGTCTGATATCGTATCTATTGACTGGAGAGTTTATACTGTTTTAAGAAGTTGAGACTGGGATGTCCAAAGCTTAAAATCAAAAATGAGTTAGCCAAAGGAGAAAGTCAGTGTACAGACCATGCTGATCTGTTATATATGCATTTTTGACATGATGCTGATGCAACATGACTGGTCTTATGCAACTGGAATAAAATAGAGAGAAATAGAATAGAAATAAACTGACTTGGCACTGACATCTCAAAAACATTATATATTCTCTGTGGACTTTCCAAAAACCAACAAGTGCTGCTGATGCAATGTACTGTAGGTTTCTTTTGATGTAAAAGCTCAGTAAATCTGTATGGACAACAGGGTGCACATGTACTTCCTCTTATGCTAAAAGTGTGCATATACAAATTGTCAGTGCTCATATGTGCTATATCTTTTTGTGGTAAGCAAAATGTGTTAATGTTATTGTTGCATTTATTCATGGAAATCATAATAAATGCACTGCCTGAATGTGGATGCATATAACATTATATCTATCAATAAAGTTGGATTCAGTGTATGAATGTGCATTTCCTGGCATTAAATAAAACCGATGTTCACAGTCTACAGGTGATTTTGCTTGTTTATTTGCAGTAGTATAGTCTCTTTTTCTTTAGAGGGTGTTGGATGTAACAAAATTACAGTAATTTCATTAATGCAAAGTACACAAAAAATTTACCACATCAGTATTTTCAGATTTTCTTTCCTAATTACTTTTAATAAATACAATGTCTTTGCCTATCCTCATAGCAGTATACCTAATTTATTAATTCCCCCAAAGTTGTGAGCGCTATTATCCAATATTATTATTTTTTTAAAGCTTTTATCTCTTTTTTAAGTTTGTTATGTCATTTAATGTGATGTTATTTAATATTTAGCAGCTTAAATTTTGTTTGTCAATGCCAGAGATACTAACAAACTAAATGGTAAACTGATTGCCTTGTAATCAGTGAGAATAGATGGGTGAGCTGAAACATTACCAACACATTAAACTAATGTGTTTGAAAACAAACAAACAAATATCAATTATTAATTGCCTGGACAACTTTTTGTTGAACCATATCATTTTCTTAATATTACAAAATCGCTCTTCCCATATACCATTTAAATCCAAAATGCAGAAACATAACACAATAGCTTGGTTGATCAAGTTAATATTTACAATCGTTACAAAATTATGAGATTTAAACTACTGTTTTAATCCACTGAGAGACCCACGAGATAGCGTAGCAGCCCTCCGATTGGCTGAGCGTGTCCCAAGCGTGTTGTGGTAAACAAAATCCGAGATCCGTGTACATGCGTAGACGTGGTAATGGAGGATAGTGATCTATTCACTGGGGGCTTAGTTAGCAAGCTCTCTTCTTTCTCGTATGCCACGAACTGCTCTATCTAGTGATTACGAGATATTTGCAACGCAAAGGAATAACGTATCAATCAACTGAGAGGAGGTGGTAAGTTGTTGCATGTCGAGTTGCATTACGACTGCCTCAGAATGTTAGTTTAACTCACAATGCTAATCTGATGGCTAAACTGCTCGACAGCTAATGTCGATGCTAGGGGTCGGGTGTAGACTATTTCCTGGAATTGCTATCACTGACTTGGCAACTGGTACTTTTACTTTTTGTATTGCAAGTAAAGTCAAACACTTGTTGAAATTTGTTTATATAAAGTAGATAGCTCCGTTTTATAACCTACGAGAACGTTGACGCTAGCTGTATCCAAGTTTGCTAAAGGGACACTAGCTACACGAATGAGTTTGGAAGGATGTAACGCAGCTGTGGTGTGTTCTGCAATACAGGAAGTAGTCTTGCCCAATCACGGTGCTAACGTGAACTGGCTAACTAGTTGTTTTATGATTATCACTCTCCCTTTTAGACACCGTGAGAGCAAGACGGCAAGTTCACTCCAAGTAGTGACGTTATACGTTAATTTTGGCTATCGTGTAATTTACGATACGTGACAAGAACCAATGTTAACTTGAATACTAGTGAAAACATTATGCTATCAGATTAGCTCATGCTAGGCTATATGCGATGCATTTTTGTTCTACGAATTAGCCCATGTTTCTTTAGCAAGTTAGCAAATAAGCTAATGTCACTGGCTGGGCTTCCACTGTGGGGCAGAATTAAAGAGACGCAGTTTTAACCAATCAGGGACTGTTTCAGTTGTTCCCTGCGCTGTGCAGCCTCCAGGCTAGGTATGCTAACACGTAACATACGACAGTGAACCATTCAAATTAAGTTATGATCTCTCTACTATTCAGAACCAGAGATAGCCTATTAACAATACAACATATTAGGAGTAATTTGCAATGTCAGTAATTTATAGCTTATATACTTGTGACAGTGGCAAGCGTGCTGAGCAGGTAGGGCCACAGTCCCCTGAGCCCCCCGGTCTCTTCATACATCCTTAGAGCAACCACGTTGTACTTGTTTCTAATTCATTTGATTTAATAATAATTTTGCTAACTTTGAAACAAAAAAGGAACATGATACAGTCTTAAAAAAGATTTACTTTTACAGTAATTTACAACAATGGGCTATAATAATGAAAAGAAAATTTAATACAAAAGTCTGAAAAAAGTTGCTTTATTTGTGTGTTATTTTTTTTTAACGTTTTCATGGCATCTAAACATCAGCAGACATAGTTAAGTGGTTATGCCTGAATGTTAAAATATTGAATCCAACAATACAAGTCTGCAAATATCTTCGCTCTTCCTCTGCTTAGATATAGGTGTCAGTAGGTGCCACAAGTTGGTTGAGGAGTACAACAAGTTGGTTGAGGAGTGCCACACGTTGGCTGAGGAGTGTCACTAGCTGCCACAGAGTAATATTGTTGTAATCATTGAACTGTAGATAGCAGTTTTCAATTATTCAATTTAGTTATAACGTTAGGGGCTAAGGCCAAATAAGGCAGGATCCAGTTAAAGATACCTGTCTGTGGTAAAAAACGGATAATGGAATAACTGATTCAAGATATATTTAATCGTGATATTACAACATTTATTCACAATTTGCAGGAGCTGCCATTGAGTTTTGGGATGGCGTCAGAGGTGATTTCCCAAAACCATGGCTCCAAGGGGATCATGACTTTTTACCCCACTCCTGAGGAATTCAAGAACTTCAGCCGCTACATTGCATATGTGGAGTCCCAAGGAGCACACAAAGCAGGCCTGGCTAAAGTAAGTAGTGATGCACTGCATGTGTTCACACAGGTGCACACATTCTAGTGTCTAACGCACTGTCCACTTTCCTCCTCCAAGATTGTCCCACCAAAGGAATGGAAACCCAGAAGCTCTTATGACGATATAGACGATTTGGTGATCCCTGCGCCCATTCAGCAGGTGGTGACGGGCCAGTCGGGCCTTTTCACACAATACAACATTCAGAAGAAGTCCATCACCGTGAGAGAGTTTCGCAAGATTGCCAACAGTGACAAGTGAGAATTAGAAAATCTGTTAAATCTGCAATTGAAATCTACCAACTACATTTTTAACCTTTTGATGGTAGAAGTTAGTTAATGGTGTTGGTATTAATTAGCTATTTCCTTTTATAGGTTCTGTAGTCCACATTATGATGACTTTGAGGAGCTGGAAAGGAAGTACTGGAAGAACGTGACCTTTAACCCTCCCATATACGGGGCTGATGTTAATGGATCTCTATATGACCCTGTGAGTTGACATTTCTTGGATGTCTTTGCTCTAGAGAATATTCTTCAATGTTGATGGGTTTTCCGATTGCTGACTGTGTACCTGAAACATTACTGAACATAGTGGTGTTCGTCACCACTTCAAGTCTCTTCTGCTGATTTTATATTGTCTGCTCCACTTCTGCAGGACGTCAAAGAATGGAACATTTCCCATCTTGACACTATTTTGGATACTGTGGAATGTGAAAGCGGCATCACTATTGAGGGTGTGAATACACCCTACTTGTATTTTGGCATGTGGAAGACCACCTTTGCATGGCACACTGAGGACATGGACCTTTACAGTATCAACTACTTGCACTTTGGAGAACCCAAATCATGGTAAGGACACAAACTTCTTTTCTTGATCAGATGCAGAAATAATGGAGAAGAATCCCCGGAAGTAGTTACATTTGTGGGAGTGTAGGAATGGGAGGGATTGTCCATAGGTTTGAGAAGTTTATTTATTGTGGAGAACAGGACCTTGGTGTTGCTGGAACCGGAGTGGATGATGCCAGAGCAGTAGGTGGAGCGAGCAGTATTGAGGGGTGCAAATCCTTGGCAATAAAAGTTGCAATCTACTTTGTGATTTGCTTCGCCCTTCCAGATTTTGGCGGAAGAAGAAGCAAAATGCTTCCATACGTTAGCTTTAAAGCCAGGGGGTGCCGGTCAGATTGAATCCATATTCAGTTGCTGAAGCTCAGCCGCCCTCAGCAAAAACTCTGCTAGTATTTAGCCAAGCTTAGAATGTAAACAAGACGCACGTGTATTACGTCTGTTGCGTTCAGGGGCAGCGGTAAGAAACGGACAGCCCGGTGTCGACGACTGGTTACAGGCGATCATAACGTTGAGAATTGAGTTTTAAATTTCCGATCATTGAGTTTTCTGCATCGAGTCATAATCTTTCAAGAGAGAATCGCGATGCGTCTAAGAATCGATGGTGAGGTGGTTGATGGTGATTCCAGTGAACAGACCAGGTCCAGGATGTGACTGTGCTTATGGGTGGGGAAGGTGATGTGTTGAGTGAGGGCCCGGGGCCTCTTTCTGTGAGGCGACAGTGCTAGCCACCACACCACCGTGCATATCCTAGAATCTGACACCACACTGTATAGTATATACATAAATCCATTATATCAGTTTACTGTGACTAAGAAGACTAATTTGAATCTGTGCAGGTACTGTGTTCCTCCAGAGCATGGGAAGAGATTGGAGCGGTTGGCTAAAGGTAAGAGACCCAACACTATTATCTGTCGATGTTTATCTTATCAGGCTGTTCACTATCATGGACTTAAACATCTGTGTGCTCTCGCTCCTTCTAGGGTTCTTTCCCGGTAGTTCCCAAAATTGTGAGGCTTTTTTAAGGCACAAGATGACTCTCATCTCTCCCTCGATACTAAAGAAGTATGGCATTCCGTTTGAAAAGGTACAAAGGAGATTATGTGTTTGTTTGAGGGCCTTTTCTTCATACCCACTGAACAAGCCAAATGTATAAACTGCAGTTACTAAAGAAATGTTTTACTTCTCCTGAAGATCACTCAGGAGGCTGGTGAGTTCATGGTAACGTTCCCCTATGCCTATCATGCTGGTTTCAACCACGGTTTCAACTGTGCAGAATCCACCAACTTCGCCACAGAGAGATGGATTGAGTACGGCAAGCAAGCTGTTTTGGTGAGGACCGCCAAGTGACTGCATAGAAAACCATAGCTAACCTAATTTGAATCAGATGTTATCTTGCTAGTAAGACTGTAAACATATACATTCATACAGTATTATCAACTATACGTTTATAGATTACATGCAACATCATCACCTGTAACACTCGCCATTTGAATCACTGTCTTTTTGCTCTTCTTCCCTTTAGTGCTCATGCCGTAGAGACATGGTGAAGATTTCTATGGATGTATTTGTGAAGAAATTCCAGCCAGATCGCTATGAACAGTGGCTGGCAGGGCGGGATGTGTTACCCATTGACCACACACGGCCCACCCCAGAGGCCAAGGAGTTCCTGGGGGAGTCCTTTAATGACATCAGTACCAGTAACTGCACTGAGAGCTGTGGGGATGATGGGGAGCGAAAGAGGTGGGTCATTTACTACAGAAATGAATGCTCTTGACTATATGTATATTTGTTTAAGTGGTTGATACAGTTACATGTTTTACTACATAGGTGATTTGTTAGTCCTGGTTATTTTGTGCTCTCTGTTGGGAACACCCAGCGGCGTGTCTGCCATGGAAAGTCTTGTAAACAATCATCCCTGTGACCTTGTCTGTCTGAGCTTTGTAAAGCGATGGTGAAGAAAGCTAGATATTCTACAAAGGGAGCTGTAAACCCTGTTAGACTGTACTTACTCTAGAATATACAATATATCATTTCTTAATGCCAGTTAATCTTAGCTTAAAGACCCAGTGACAGCAGAGGAAATCAATGCTAATTAGTCTAGACAAAACAAATCACGGCTTTCATTTATTAATAATCAGCGAGAATTACTGGGACATGCTAATGCCCTCTTTCTAGGAATGCCCTGCTCCACATCTCGCATACAGCTTTACCCTTTTCCTGCCAAAATTAGCTCGTATATTGTTTTTTCATACACAGGAAACACCTAGTAAAGATGGCCGATACACTCCAGGGTGGTTTCTTTATTCATAAAGCTGTAGTTTTTGCGTTGAATTCTAGTATTAACATTTTTGTTGTAAGAGGTATTTGACGAGGTTTCATTTCAAAGCAGCAGAAAAAAACAAATGTTTTTTTGTTCCCTGCAGTTTATAGTCCTCTGTCCCTTTTTGTTTGGTTCTCAGCGCTACACAGAGGATAGAGACCAAGAGACACAGAGTCTGTCTGGAGGTGCCTGAGGAGGTTGTTCCCAAGGATGAAGATGAGGACGATGTGGAGCAGTATGGGAAGCGTCCCAGGCTAAGCCTTATACCTCCACGTATTATGTCACAAGATGGCAAGAGAAATAAAGGTATCACTTTTTCACTACCCTTTAGTTTCCTGAAGGGCAGCTAAGCCTGAAATAGCACATTTTATATGGTGAAAGAAAATGAAGTGTAATGACAGTGCATTTTTCACCATCACGTCCTAAACGAGATATCTCTAATTCAATTTACAGGCCCACCAAAGTTGGTTGTCACACCAACCAAGCTCACTTTATTGGATCCATTTCACAGGAGCCTGACCCAAAGTAACAGTGATGTAGGCCGCCCCCCACATTACACTAAGACTCGAGCACCTGCGATCTCATCTCAGTCCCAGCCCAGAAATGGATATTTGTCAGTTTCAGCAGCACCTTCGTGGACAGAAACCAGCACTCAACCTGCCCGCAAAATGGGGGTAGCCAGCCTGCTCTTCCATAGAACTCTGAGTCCAAAAGACACTCTTCAGGTGCACAGCTACGCTATAGAAAAGCAGCGGCAGACTCGCACGCAGCTGCAGGTTCACAGCTATGCTAGAGAGCATCAACCCCGTCATCTCCAGCACAAAGCCTGTACATTATCACACACGCAGGTTCAGTCCTCGCCACAGCCAGAATCCAAGATTATTCTCACCAGCGCAGCACTGAATCAATCGGAAGCAGAGAGTCTTGTAGAGCTGGTCCAAAAGGAGGACAAACCTGAAATACCGATGCCTGCTGAGGCTCAAGCTGAAGTGAAGAAGCCTGAAGTTGAGCCCACCTGCAAATCTGCTGCCACTTGGACACAAATGCATCCCACAGAGATGAGCAAAACAGTGATGGAGGCCTCCAAGAACAACAAGCGAAAGGTCCGTTTGTTTTTGTTTTTGACTATTTATTTATTTTTCTAATACAACATTTGTTGACGGAACACTTCTACCAAAGATGCAAGAAGTGAAATGTAATTTTAAATTGTTGCCTCTGTGTGCCACGTGCTTGTTTGAGCGCAGGTTATGTTCTATGAAGCATGCATTGTCTTTTCTGTCAACTTAACACAAAATCATCCCAAATAGCGTGTAGTCACTCCTGAACATATAAGATGTAAAGTTTGTATTCGGAGCTCTTAAATGCGTGTCTTTGCTTCATAATACTATTTTGCATGTAGTTACTAAAGAAAATGACTTTTAGTGGCACTTTAATGGGGCATTTTCTTTGCCTAATTATCTCTTAGAGCACCGTTTTATTACTGATTCTACCAACACAACAGTTCTTTGTGATCTCTGTGGTGACAGAATGCACTTTATCAGTTATTATTCCTGCCTGAATGTTCAATGTCATTTATGCTGTTCAATCTACAGAGTAACCAATCCCCCCTTGTGGATAGTGGCGTTGTCATCCTGAATGACACCATTCCTGTCAACAAACCAATCTGTGATGAGGTGAAGGTGATCCCTCAGATTCATCACGTAAGTAGTTACCAGCTGGGACCAAATTCTCAAAGGCATCTATGCATACCAGTACAGAGTCTCCTAAATGTCTAAAAATCAATCCAACTGATGTTATGTTCGTTGCTACAGGTACAGTATCATCCCTGTTTTTTAAGTTTTGTCTTGCTATACACGTCTTGCTCCAGCAGGTGTCAGAAGAGCAGTCGTACTGCAAGTCAGTTGTGAAGAAGCAACAGCAGCAGGCCCAGCTCTGCAAGCTGCCCCGCCATCACCCACTAATCAGGGAGGTGAACAGTGACAATGGTACGCAGTTGTTCATCTGCATAATGTAGAAATATGTTGTGTGGAGTCGATTTACTGAACATCATATTTACAGTAATAATATAATGTCTTGTCTTAATTATAATTTCTACCCATTTCATTCTATTTCCATTTTTTCTTCTCATGGCTTGAATTCTTATGCTTCCACCACCATCTTCCTCCTCCATTCACACATGTGTCACTGTTCTTCATCCCATCTGTAGAGGAGTTCGTTAACGAGGAGTTTGAGCAAGAGGAGAAGGAGGAGTGGGCAAAGCCGTTAACCCAGCTGTGGCAGTGTCGCCCGTACAACCCCGAGGCAGAGCGAGAGTACAACAAGAGCGCGGGCCAGCAGGCCCCCTACTGCTCCATCTGCCTACTCTTCTACACTTACCATCAGGTGACACTATCAGCATGTATTTATCAAGTTAGTGTTTTTATTAATGTTTCTTTGGCCATGGTAATATTTGAATTTTCACATAGCTGTGCGTTGAGTCAACATTTGATAATAGGTTTTCAGTGAGGATGGGATCTATCGGATTATCATATAACAATCCTCTTCTTCTCCCCTCCAGTCTGAATCCAATAGTGGGAGTTCCAACGTGATGTTGGTGAACCGTCCAGGGGGCCGCCAGTGGTCCAAGCCGCTCATCCCCGAAATGTGTTTCAACACCCAATCTGGCAAGACCAATGATAACGGGGAGGGACAGCTGTTTAACCCTCATGTAGCAGAGGACGGGACCAGCCGGCTGGTCAGCTGTGCTCAGTGCTGCGTCCGCGTACACACAAGTAAGCCCCTTCACTGCGATGAACAGGTATCCATTAAAGTGTGCATCGGTAGGAACACTTCAGGGATTGGTAAATTAAATTTATCTTGCATACTATACATTCAGATATTTTGTTATTCTTCAGCTTAAAACTACTGTTAGACACTTATTTAAAAACAGCCATGACTTAAGACCATAAATGGATTATGCATAAACACATGCGCCACACTAAATAATTCAGCCAGTAGCACCAGGAGCTTTTACACAGTGTTGACATACAGTGAGATTCCTTAACTTGCTGAATTAAATGCTATTAGTTAAGTTTAATAAAATGTTATTATCTTAGTTAATTTATGTATTCCTCAATACTGTTTTACTTTGGTGCAGCCTGGCGCCTGACCACTTATTTTTTTCACCCTCCCAATTATCTTAAATAAAAAGCCAAATATGACTACTGACCATGCTGTGGGATGAAGCTTGTGAATGTGTGACATGTTCTTGTTTTGTCCAGGTTGCTATGGTGTGTCTGGGGACGACGCAGAACTAGACGACTGGCTGTGCGCCCGTTGTGAGGCTGATGCCACCACAGAGGTCGGTTCATTTGGCTATCTTTAGTAGATAATCATTATTTCTGTTCAAAGTATTTGAATTGCTCATTGAACTAGTTATAGACAAACTTCAAAACTTCAGCCACAGAGTTGCTGTGTCCCTGCCCCAGCTTGCCTTGCATTGTACATCATTTAGTGACTGTTTAATAAAATCAGCAAGGCATCGTGTGGCCTTACATGTGTAATGTCTGCAGGTGTTAAGGTTAGGAATACATTTAAGTGAATTACAGCTGCTGCAGCTGAATCTATGTAGCTTTTTTTTATAGTGTAATACAATTAACAACCACAGCGGCTTCTGTGGCACTTACAAAGTTGTCTCTCTACGCTACCGCTTCCTGTGTTCTGAGACAGTGAGAGTGTCCCTTTGTGTCTTATTGTTTTGGGGAATTTGTTTCCCCAACTTTGTTTGTAAAATGTATCTTTAAATTTCTGTTGCTTTCATCATTCATGCCTGCTCAGAACAATGGGTTGTTGGGAATGTGAGGAATGTGGCCCTACTGTGGCACAAACACCTTTGACCACTAGTTGGCAATGCTTCACTTTATATTTGTTTGTGACACCTCCAATGGCCCCTGGCTTCACACTGTTCCTGTTTTTAGTAGGATCTAAGATATTCCTTGTATAGTGAGAATCAGTCATTTATTTATTTTAAATATTAAGACATCAAATGCTGTGTATTTTTACTAAAGAGTTCCTTGTGTTATTAACTTGGCTAAGAACGACCCCCGATTACCGTACTCAGCCAATTGATTTCTTTTAACGGTTTCCTGTAATATGTTTGTGTAATATCTGTGGAGAAAGGTGTGTCAGACTAGAACTGTTGTGGCAGGAAAGATTGATCAGAATTTAGATACAACAGATGGAAGTTGTCAGTTAACAGCAGCACTTTTTTACAGGCTTTAAGAAAGTACAGTACAGTGCGTTCCTGACAGCTGCTATACCAGGTGCACAGTACCTACCATGTGATCCACTAGAGCTGACTGGGCTATCGCCAGTTTAAGCTCTAAGTAACATAGAGTAGAACATCGTATATCCAGACATCAGGATTTAGCTGTGACGAAGATAAAGGAGTCAGTTAGTCAGAGTTTGTATTTTTAACAATACATTGTTTTGTGTTTGTCTTCCTCCAGGACTGCTGTCTGTGTTCCTTGAGAGGCGGCGCTCTGCAGAGAGCCAACGATGACAAGTAAGAAATACGAGCAGACCATAGTGCTGCCACTAAAGAGCATGAATGTGTAAACCAGAAGCTGTAGTACAGAAGCCACCAACCTTTGAAGTTGTATGACACATGTGAAGCAGTCCTGGTAATCTGAGCTGGTCCCTAATCTAGAACCACAGATAAGAATACTTGTTTAAATGTGCAATGTCACAAATTTCCTTTTGAAATATGATTTACTGGATTTCTTTGTCAAACTACTATTTCCAATGCAATAAATTCTTTCATGCTCAAGTTTAAACCTTGTTTGTTCAGATAACTGTAGTTTAATGTGGGGATACTCTCTGTCATATTTATTAATTCTTTAACTGAACACAATCTTAATAATTAAATATAATATAACAGTTTTGACGGCTCGTTCTATTCTCTGAAGTCATATGAATATGGACACGTGCAAGCTGGTCAGCTTTGAGTGTTGTTATCACGAAGTATACAATAATTACATTAAACATAATTTGATATGCTACATATAGTGTTTTATGTTTATTCTAATGAATTTAGGCTAGTAGGAAGAGGGCACTTAGTGGACTGTGGTTGATTTAGTTAATCTAGACTCGAGAGAACCTGCAGATTATTTTCCACCATCAACCAATCGAATGGTTGAAGAGTAGGTAGAATGTCTTACAGCAGCCTTAAGAAGTAGTTGTACAAGTTGTTGTGATAGAAGTTGTAGTTGTTTTCTTACATATCATATGTAGACATTAACATGTAGTTGGGACTCCAAATTGATGTCTACACATCATGTTTACTTGTTTCATTGTGTAACTACATTGTTTAATACGTGCTCTAACATTTCTAGAAACATTGCTTCGCAGACATGGAATTGTTTGTCCTAAATCTCCCTCATGTTTGCCTTTCACACAGGTGGGTCCATGTGCTGTGTGCCATCACTGTGCTGGAAGCTCGCTTTGTCAACATCACTGAGCGAGGCCCCATTGACCTCTCTGCAATCCCACTGCCACGGTTCAAACTGGTAAGACTCACTACAGTTAATGTGGGTTGCATCTTTTCTATCTCACTATTATCACAATGCCCATCTACTTGCAGTATTTATGGCAATATGAGTTGGGTCTAGTTTTCCACTGCCAAGTAGTTTAGACCCCTACACAGATACACAGATTGGATTCTTGGTAAACGGAGTTGTGCTCTGATGGCATCTGTTTGTGGTTCTCACTGAGGACATGCATTTCACAACAGTGAAACTGCTGTGGTGCCTGCTTGGCTGTTCTTACCCACTTTCACTTCTCAATCAGACCCCTGCAGGTTTCCGAATAATGTATGCTGTTGCGTAATGGAGCAGTGACAGTCTGACCATATTTGGTATATATATTTATTGTTAAAGACGTAACACGCAGACAGTGTATGCTGTGCATTAGTCACGGTCAGTCTGGAAATAACGCGGGACTTTGTTCTAACAATGGTTGGCCTTGTCTCCATTGTTATAGGTTGTCATCTCAATGGATTTACTTCTAAATAAGTACCTATGATGTCAGAACCCTGTTAAATTCCCAAAAGGAAGTTGTGTAATATCTCTCTTAACATGTCTGTGTTCCAGTTCATGTCAGGGTCTGCCTGCCTTGTACTTCCTTTGATAACTTAAAAAAAATATCTTTCTTCCTCTTATCCTCCCCACTTGGCTTGTTTCCTTTCTCCTCCTTTCCTTCCCCTGTATTTCCTTTGCTTTAACCCGCCACCCGTAACTTTTCCTCTCGGCCGCTATGCCTCATCCGCGCTTGTCTTTGTCACTCTGGTAGAAGTGTTCGTACTGTAGGAAACGGATGAAGAGGGAGGTGAATGGCTGCTGTGTCCAGTGCTCCCACGGGCGCTGCTCGACGGCGTTTCACCCCACCTGCGCTCAGGCAGCTGGAATGATCATGCACCCGGATGACTGGCCGTTCATAGTGTTCATCACCTGCCACAGACACAAAGCGCCCAGCATACCAGAGGTAACCTAGTGGAACACAATCAGGCCAATAGTAATGAGTTGAATGCAAACGGTTACATAATTTATACATACTTCATCATGCGAAGCTGTGTTTCGATTCTGTTTTTTTTTTTTTTTTTTTTTCTTTTGAGGAAAAGTGGGTTAGTTGATGCACACTAACCCACTTTTCTGATATTCTGATACTGACACGTTTTATTCAGCAATGTAAAAACAGCACTTTTAGCTTTTTGAAGTGTGAATGCAATTGCCACAAGTAACTGATTTATGGATTATAGTTACATCAGCTCCCGTATGTATGTATGTATGTCTATATATACATGTATGTACAGTTGTGTGAAAAAGTGTTTGCCCCCTTCCTGATTTCTTATTTTTTTGCATGTTTGTCACACTTAAATGTTTCAGATCATCAAACAAATTTAAATATTAGACAAAGATAACACAAGTAAACACAAAATGCAGTTTTTAAATGAAGGTTTTTATTATTAAGGGGGGAAAAAAAATCCAAACCTACATGGCCCTGTGCTCTGACTCACTAATTGGGCGGAGAGAGACGTCTTTTTCTTTCTGTCAAGAGATAAGCGGCAACAAAACTGAGTCACTGAATGAATGAATCTTTATAGACTCTTGCTGTTTTGTTTTGCACTACTACCACTTCTCTCTCCTGTGACTCACAGCGCTGTGGAGTGATAAGCTTTCAAGATTAACGCTCTCTGTCCTTCCCCAGCGCAACAAGGCTTCCATGCGTGAGCTGGCAGTCAGGCAGAGGGTGATCTGTAAACACAAAAACGGCCGTTACTACCACAGCGAGGTGGTGGAACTGACCACAGCCACCTTCTACGAGGTGGTGTTCGACGACGGCTCCTACAGTGACAACCTCTTCCCAGAGGACATCGAGGTTAATGGAGTTGCTTCCAATCATATACCCTGTCAAGTGCAAAGATGTTTGGGGATGACACTTAGTGAGACTTTAACAACATTGATCAGCTGATAACATTTAAGTTCCCCGTTTTAGAGAAGTTTTCTAAACGAATGAGTTTAGAAAACTCACCTTTCGCTCACTTTTCAGAACCGTGACTGCGTCCGGCTCGGTCCACCTGCCGAAGGAGATGCTGTTCAAGTGCGATGGACAGATGGGTTGATATATGGAGCCAAATTCATGGCCGCGCACTCCATCCCTATGTACCTGGTAAACCCGCCTTCATGTCTCCCTTTCTGCCTTACTAGCACCGACTTGCATAGACTGTATCCAACAGGCTTACTCGGTTTCTTCAAACCACATCACAGTTGGGTTTCTCAACCCTGAAATATGGGTGGTCTTGTGTGGTGAAGAGTCAAAATGACTAAATATGCTCATCATGTGATATGTTAAAGGGAAGTGCTTTTCACACAGTTTCACCTCTTATCTCTGGTGGTCTATTAGAGAGAAATGATGATGTGACACAACAGCCTGCATGTTTTTGTCTTTTTGCAAACCAGTTAAACAGTTATGTAAAATGTACATTGATTGCTGCATGTGAGAAAAAATGTAATAACGAAACTATTCATAAAAATGGTGGTGAAAATAATTTTCATCCACGTGATATGTATATTAGTGGTTTCACTTAGAGTGTGTGTGTGTGTGTGTGTGTGTGTGTGTGTGTGTGCATTCAGGTGGAGTTTGAGGATGGATCACAAACCACTGTCAAGCGAGAAGACATCTACACTCTGGATGAGAATCTTCCCAAACGAGTCAAGTCACGACTGGTAACGTACAATCTCCCATTTTATCAGAATGTCTCTGAACCTTTTACGCTCAAACGAACGTGTTATGAAGTGTGCAAGGTGTGGCTTACAACACTTATTCTATGTTTGAGATCTGCAAGCACTAACTTCTATTTCTGATGCTTGCTCCTCAGTCGGTGGCGTCAGACATGCGCTTTGAGCTCTTCTCACAGGGCGACGTCAAACAGAACTCCAAAAGGCAAAGGGTCATCAACTCTCGATACAGAGAGGACTACATCGAGCCCGTCATTTACCGAGCCATCATGGAGTGACATCCATATCCGTTTCCCTCTCTCTCGCCTCCTCGGCCTTATCGACTCACCGCAGAGAGAAGCAGCTCCAGATCTTTGTTTCTTCGTCTGGCCTCTCTGTTTCTGGCTACTGCTGATAGGAATGATCCTCCTCCTCCTCCTCTGCTTCCACTGCCTGTCAGGCTACATATTTATAAACTACGGCTGGGACTTTAAATTACTTCTGTGTGCATTAAATAATATTCTTTCACTTGTTTCCCATCACGCTCTGTAGATTATTTTTTCTTCCTCCATTTCATTTAGTTTTTTTCTTTTCTTATCTGGAAGCCATCAATTATTAAATTAGTTCAATTATTAAAAATGGAAAAGGTTGGACTATCTAATTGGGGAAAGATATTTTTTTCTCGACCACCACATTTAGCAGCTGTAAAGGAAACTTTACACGTTCTGCAATCGGCAGTTAATCTAATTTTGTGACATTTTTTTCTATAAATGACCGTTTGCTCTTGACTTACCGGCTTATGTTATTTTCATAATAATTCATCATATTTTGCAGTGATGAGAAGTTATGCTTGTGAAGGTTTTAAATGAAGCATCATTTTTGTTCAATGTTTTCACTCGTGAATTTTAACAAAGGCTAAACTATGAGCCAATCAGCTGTTGATCACAAAAACTATTTCATTCATCTAGAGTTAAGTTAAGTTGTTACCCCAAAGAAACTAAATAATATCTCACGGTCACCTTTTGACACATCTTTAGGTCGTGCTTATGAGTCATGTGATGCGTTGCATAGAGGGATGCGTATTGCTTCTCATTGGTGTGTCAACGTGCTTCTACTGTGGAGATGGAAGGAAAGTCCACATCTGTCAAAGGCCCACGCCTTACATTTCAAAGGGCCAAGCATACTTATAACTATTACTATTACTCATCACACTTTTATTTATGCGAGTGCATTAAGTTTAAGAACAAAGATATTTTTGTCATGTCCTTTTCACAATCTGTAGAAAACCTAAGATGTGTATATATTTATTATATTGATAGGTTTTCAGACATCCTGTTTAAATTGTGAGACTTCCTGAATTGGGATTGAAGGCTGTGATTGCTAATCTGGTTTAAATCCCCCTCTAAACAAAAAGCACTTATTTTCACCTCCTGCCTCAGGAGGTTAACATTTTGTCGACCCATGGCCTCCACTAAGATTACTTTTTTTTTTTTTTTGTGTTTTTGATAAAAAGCTAGCTCTATAGCTCTAGAGGTGAACATTGTAACCAGGTTCTAGTTTGATCACAAATAAATGAAAAGGCGGTAAGTGGGTCAGTATAAGAAGATTTCTGAGTATTTTCTATCTGCCATGTGAGGTTGCAGCGTTCTCAGGAAGACGTTATGTTCAGACACATTTTATCTACACTTCAAACTGCCTTATTGGTTTCCTCACGGGCCCATGTGCAAGGCCGCATTAAATCTGTACACTCTGTCATCAACTGTTTTGAGTAAAGTTTGGATTAAGAAAAAAACCCTGCAATTTACTTTCTACATGTACCACACAGAAATGAGCAGATCTGAGTGCTGAGATCCAGGCAGTCTTTCTATTAGAACTCGTACACAGTTTTTCATTAGGCTGTCGTCTGCCTTTCTTTCCTTGCTTGTGTTTTTGAACTAGTGTTGGATGTCTCAGCCAGAGGGCTTGCAGCTGTGCCAAAGCTGAGTTGAGTGACTACATTCCACTAAAGACAGACCAAATGTTCACGTGTGGCGGACGAGTCATCGCAAGAAAAAAAGTCTCAGAGCAGGTGTGCACTACCATCGCCATCATTTCAGTTCTTTAGAGATCTGATCTCTTATCACGTGTACTTGTTCCATTCTTCTTATCATGGTTTAAAACGTCTTGATCAGAAAGGCTTAGATACGTGCTGCTGAAGTGCTTTCGTATAGTTTAACAATGCAAATGTTCAGATTTTCAGATAAGGCCTTTGATTACATTTTTGAATAGTCACCTGTCTACATTTCCACTTTTCCAACTGTCACTTGGACAATCTATTTTTCCTCTAAATCTCTACTTCAGCCTTTATTTAGAGTCAGCCCAGAGAAGTAAGTCGGTTCCTTACGCCCTCTTATGTTATGCTTGTACGACATTGATTATCTGTTACAGATGCTTCAGTTATAGGTTGTTGACAAATGCATGAATGATGATAATTACAACTACATCATAAATAAGGGGGTAACTTTAAAAATATATATTTTGTGTATATATAGACATATACACCCATATGTTCAAAATTGGACAGGAGGTTAGCTAAATTCAAAATTGAACATTTGAGATGTACTGTAATCCCCTCCCTCTCCTGCTCTTCAAAGTAAAAGAGGAATCGTCTTCTCTCCTTACAGTCACAGGAGCTGGTGACAAAGGGGGGACTTTACCCCTGGGCACAGGGTTGACAGCTGAGTTCTTTAGTAATGTGTGTGCCCTGAGGAAGTAAATAGTTCTCCAAAAATCTATTGAGGGATTCAGGTTGCTGTCCTGAACTTGATGACATTTCAATTAAATGCCTCCAGGGAATTTTTGTACCGACCGAGCTTCAATTTAAGGAAGTGCCCCGAGAGTGCCATTTCAGTTTCCTATGACGTAAACTCCATTAGTGTAACCTCAAAATTCTGCTTAAGGTTTGATAAATGTGTGTCTGTTTGATGTTGTCATTCACTTGTGGGCTGGTATAGTGAGAAATGAGAACTAACATCCTGCCATCTTCACTTTCATGCAGTGCTTTTGCCCTCAATGTTAGTTCCTCCAAATCACTTGTGACGGGAAAGAAACGCCTCTGTAGAGCAGTGATTCCCCTGCTTTGGTTTCCAACCTTTGTTGGTTTAATAGTGGCATTGGTCAGCAATGTTGGTTGGTCTATTGGTCGTCAGTCGATGGATTGACATAACATTTTAGAAATACTTTGGTGACCCCCGACTTTTCCTTTAGTGCCACCATGAGATTATTTTTTTGTTAAGATTGAAAAATCTTTAGCAACCACTGGATGGATTGCCATTAAATTTGGTAGAGGTTTACGTCTCAGATTAATTGTCAGGGTGAACACCTGATAAATCAAACAGTGACACAATCAGGTCAAACTTTTAATTTGTCCTTTATTACCAAATACTTTTACCCCATCAGCCTCAGCTGTACTTTGTGTTTAATGCCAATTACCAAATGTTAGCATGCTAATGTGCTAAGTTAAGACGGTGAACAGTATACCCTCTAAACATCAGCATGTTGGCATCGTCATTGTGAGGGTGTTAGCATGCTAAAGTTAGCATTTAGCTCAAAGCTCCACTGTGCCTAATTACAGCTTCACATAGCCGCTAGCTTCTTGTTTTTGACTTATTTGTGACTTTAAAAATATGTGTGACATCAAAATGATGGGCTGCAAGGTGGTGGAGTGACTAGCGGCTAGCCTCGCAGCAAGAGTGGCCCTGGTTCGGTTCCTGGGCTGGAAGGCCCCTCTGTGTTTGCATGTTCTTTCAGGCTTCCTCCCAAAGTCCAAAGACATGTTGCTTCGGTTAATAGGTTACTTTAAATTGCCCGTAGTCTTGCATGTATGCATGAATGGTTGTCTGTCTTAATGTGTTAGCCCTGTAATAGTCTGTCAACAAGACCAGGCTGTACTCTGCCTTCGCCCAATGTCAAGCTTATTATTTTTATGGTCTTCCATAGTATTTAGGATGATTTAATCAATGTATGTACTGTATCTAAGATGGGAAGGCAGGGTCCATCACCACACATGTGGCAGGAAAGCACAAACCTGTTGTTAGAGAGATGGATGTGTATCTCACTCATGCACACACACAAGAACAAAGACTGTCAGTAAATTGCCTGCAGCCAGATTCCCCATCCACCACGTCAACACAGGGTCATAACAGCTGTTGACGGACGGGTGATGGTGCCAGTTCGCGCTTCTTTGTTTGCCTTCATCTCCTCTGCCAGGTGTGGGGAGGTCAAAGCTACCGTGTAGGCCTACTAAAATGACAATATTATAAAAGTAACATCAAGTTAATAAATATGGAAATGTTAGCAAAAACATTTCCATATGGACCAAATAGAAAATCTTCCATAACTTCTACGAAAATTAAAGACGTGAAATACCATGATTGCCAATGATACAACTGAACACATACACTTCTTTGGAGGTTGGAGAAAAGGCTCAACCATCTTTCTGTTATCAGCAGCTTGAATTTGAATTAAAAGGAAGTGCTACTGTGTGGTCAATGATTCAACAAAGTGATAGGGCTAATAGAGAAGGGTGCATCTTCAACTGTCCATTTTCCTGTTGCTTATTACTAGATTTGGGCATTTAGTGTAAAAATAAAGCCATACTGCTATCAACAGAAGTCATCTCAAATGTAAGATATTTCTTTAACCTTTGCTGTAATATATTTTAGGGTTGGAGAAACACAATTTATTCATTATTAATTTCTGCATAAAGATTGTTATTGTTGTCTGACATGCCCTGAATATTCTGTGTTCACCAAATCTTTGTATATATTTACCTCATATTTGCGCTCTCTTTCTTGCTTTCTGATTCTTCCTCATCTGCATCAGGCCTTTTGTTGATTCCGTGATTCTCTGTCTTGATAACAATGGATCGAATGATGAATTTGTAGGTATTCCTTGTAGTGAAAAACCTACAGAGACTTGCAGTTCTCTTCAGCCCTGCAGATTATTTTAGCGTCTTTCAGCTCATTGTTTTGCTTCAATGTACGGCCTCTGTGCTGTTTTGGTTTACTCTCCCAGCTGTCATCAATGTTGATGTTTGCACCAGGCAAAACCTTCTGTATGCCGCTATCTTCCCAGCATCAAACTGCAGACAACGTTAGCAACTAGATAATGACCCCAGTGGAACACCTAGCTCAAGAGGCAGATATTTGCCGTAGGAGTTGGTGGAGACCAAAACAGAGCTAAAAGTAGAGGGCATATTGGGTTTGCATTCATTAAGTGGCCAGAAATACAACTCTAAATGAATGCTAATGTTTTGTATCTACTTGATGTGTAAAAAACGTAGAAACGTAGAAAAAGAAGTGGACGTAGTCGTCCCATGATTGTGGACTGCGGTTTTGAAGCATCGATTTCGACCTTTTGGCCATTGCCATTTTGGATTATGGTTGTCGCCATCTTGGTTTTTTGCAACCAGTGAACGGAAGTAACTTCAATATCGTTGAACTTATTTTTGCAACCAGAGGAGTCGCCCTGTGATGGCCAGAAGAGAGAATGCAAGTTTAAGGCACTTCTGCAGTCTTCAATTTTCAGAACTGAACTGTCTGTAACATGTTCACCATTTCAACTTAAAACGTTATATTATGTCACTGTGGGTCAGCTTGTTTTGTGGCCAAAAATAGTGTTGAATACAGGCATTAACAACATGCAAGCAAATGGGTATAGCTTATTGTTTTTACACCAGTGCTCTATCTCTGCACGCCTCCATATTTAAACTCTCACACAATCTTTCACTCCCATCTGTGACCCGGCAGCTGTGGCTCCCTCAAATCTCTGTTAGTCGGGTACTTTTGTCTGCAATAACTGTCTGCCTCAGACCAGTCACATGGTAGTCAAGTGACAGGGCTCAGGTTGCTTTGTGCTATTGATGTCTGATTTTCAGACACTGGTGTTAATCAATAATTTGAAGAGCTTGATTCCTTCAAACAGCAGTAAATATAGTGGTGTCTTTGTCTTTTTCTTGGCATACACACAGCTTGTGGAGTTCCACTAAGTGTTTAATCGGCAAATAACCAAAAGCTTTGACTTGTTCCACACTAAGCAGTATACAGCAACATACTGATTACGCTTAAAAAATGGTTTATAATACATCTTAATGTAGAAACACAAATAAGAACACTGTATAATTGTTATATTTAGTGTTTCATTAATTAAAATGAATTAAAATTGTTTTATAAAGCATTCACTAACCGCCATGTTTATAACAAAATGCATGTTGAGCTTGAAAAATGTGTCTTTATATTTTACATGATTATAACTGTTGCATATCTTGTCAATTATTCATTGTCCGTTTTATGACTCATTATCACTTATGGATACTTGTTTATACAAGACTTAAATAAGCTAAATAGGGAAGTTAAACTAAAATGTTGCCACCAACTCAGTTTAGTTGTTAAAAAGCTCTAGTGGTGCAAAGATGCAACGAACATTGTGTGTTTTTGCTCATGTCTTCACACAAGGATTCATTGCTTGTAAGACTGAGGCAATAATTACATTTAGCTGGTAATATTAATTGCATGTGAAGCGGCCTTGTGTTCTTTTGTCCATTGATAAGACAAATGATTGGTGTAGCTTTTATCTGTTGGTTTGCAACCATCATGAGACCACAGAGTTTGTATCCGTTCTAAATATTTGAGCAGCCTCTCTGTAAAAACACTTCTTCACATTGTTCATGAAAGGCCGTGCTGCATGAGGTTAGAGCAAACAACCGCACGCATTGTTTCCTCAGGGAGGTACATTTTTAATAACTGCCAACAGTCCCACTTTTATCTTATTCATTGTCACATTGGAAAGTCAAACTACACTGTGTCGTCACATTAAGACAGTAGTAAAACCATTATAGTTTATCACCTGGAGAGGATTCTGATAATTTCCTGTCTCTTATCAGGAAAGCTGTTTATTGCTTTTCTGTCCACACTGTATGACTCCCAGTCAACTATAAAAAGTCATAAAATATAACGGAGCACACCCATAAATACTGTTAGTTAAATTATTCAAATGGAATGTAAAAAGAAATGTAAAGCCCTACTTTTCCTTTAACCTCCACCTGTGTGGCTATACCTGATACATCTAACCTTCCTCTTGTGTTAGGGACGGCACCGACCCGTTTTAGGTTTTAAATGCATAAAAGAACCACATAAATTTGTTTATTGCATCAAGGCTTTTTGACTTTGTCAGGAACCTCTATTTCAACAAAATAAAAACAAAACATTTTTTTTCACTAAATTATAAAATGCTTTGGTTGAAATTATGCCCTTTGTGTTTTTAGGGTTGGTTTCGACCCAGTCATAACAATAAGATTATAAAGCAATAATTAGAGCCAAAACTGAAATCACAAGTGCATCATCAGCCAACACACTGACAGCCAGCTCCTCTCCCAATCATGAGCTTTAGGGGATTCTCATTTTGCCTTGTTATCCAGTATACCTGCACAAAACCAAAACAAACAAAGACGGGCATGTCCAGACATGTGAGGTCAATTCAGTATAGAGTTGGTGAGTGCACATCTCCAATTTGCAGCATGCAAAAATGAAAAGAAGATTTTCAGTGAGACAAGTTCTGGATCATATTTTTGATTTCGAAATTTTTTTTATTGAAATTGAGGGGTATACTGACAAAGAAAAGGCCCAGAGGCCCACACCAAAAATATTAAAACCAATATTTTCATGGATAAGGAAGCCCAACAAGGTAACCAAGAGATGAGAAACAAATTGGATTATAGATAATTGTCTTTAGTGTATTTTACAGCTGATTTAAGACATGGGTCAAAACCGATCCGTTAACATAAGAGATGGTAACAGAAAGCTAACACGAGAGGAAGGACAAAATACATTTAGTTGTAATCATTTTTAATTATTGCATTTCCTTTTAATGTTTTTATGAAGCCTAAAAACCTTTTTTTTTTTTTCTTTTTTTTTAACTGTAGCCTATACGGATATTCTTTAGGCCTATTTCAGATATGACAGGAAGGTGTTGTCTCATGTGGGTATTTCCTGTAATGAACATACAAATGTCAAACTATGTTGGTGAGATTAAGCACTCTTGACACAAATGATACTTTCAGGTTTATAAAATTTCTGCTGGTGTCTGACATGAAGATAACTCAGCTAGTTAATTACAACTGCTGGGGGAAGATACTGTATTTGTACCAATCTTTCTTAAAGAGATAAGGCCTTTTATTACCACATGAATAGGGGATTTTTGTACTGATGCTAAAGCTCTGTCATGGTGTGTTGCTTGCAAAAAAGTAAACATCCTTCCTCAGTGAAACTCATTTTAATGAGAGATGCATTTTATGATGATAGACATTTAGAATCCACTCAAACAATCATTTTGTATGTCTGTCATCTGTGATTACGGAGGACCAGAAAACTGACTGTAAATGACATGTTTTACTCAGAACTGGGTACGATACTGGGAACTACTTTACATCTAAAAGGTAAAGGAGTTCCCAGTGTAATTTGCTTTACTTTTAAAATACATTTCTCTCCCTGCTTCCCCTGGTGAATGTTCCTCTATTGTAGATATTTGTTCATCTTTCAAGTTTCCGATCTGTTATCTGTGCTTGTAAAAGCTACTTCCACATCAGAGACAGTGGACTTTTCTTAGTCCTTCATGAGATGAAAGATAATTTGTCTATTAACAGGGGCAAACAGTGGTTCATGCCTGACAAATTCAGGCTGTTGACAGCTGAGCTACAAGCCACTGTCATGGTTACATAGCTCTAAACTCTGCAGGTCAGAGCAAACGGGGATTACCGTCAACCTTGTTCACTCCATTTCTTCATTCCTTCCCAGGCTGATAATGGTTGCTTTTTTTCTGGCTCAAATTGTATTAATGCTGCATTAATCAACAAAGCAAATGGTATTAAAAGGTCAGTGACCAGGGATTGAGAACCTGAGAGGTTCCTTATGTCTTGCAATCTTTTATAATTGAAGACTCATGCAGACTCACTTCTCAGTTTTGAAATTTCCACAGGAACAAACAAGTGGCTTTAAGTGAATTTGCCAAGCCCAATAACAGACGCAGGATCTATAACGACAGCTCTATAAGACAGATATGAGAAATCTGTTAGAATGTATGAAATCAGACCACATGTGATACTGAATTGCTGTTGGCAGAGACCATAACCTTACCGTAGGCTGATCTCTTGTATTTTCTACAGACATCAAATATGTGCTTGTGCATGTGCACACAGGATGTGAAAGAGTGTGTGTGCTTGTGTGTGTATATGCATGGCAGAGACAGAAAGTCTAGATGTGTCAGAGTGGGAAAGTGTGAGTTCATATATAGATTGACACATCATGAGAAAACCTGGGTGACAACCAGTTTCGTATTGTTTCCCTTTTAGACTTTGCTGTTTATGGAACCTGTACTTTATATTTCAAATATATTCTGGCGTGTAACTTATTTTTCTGGCGTCATTATTAACATATTTTTTTCCTACAAATACTCACTGCTTATGATGCCGATACCAGGGCAAATGAAGGAATGATCTCCTGTCTGTTGGAATAAAAACAGTGCTGTGCCATTAAGATACTGTACAGCAGTATTCTTATTTCTTTCTAATGGGACATCCTGTTTCTACCACATTAAGCAGCAGATTGCAGCAATGTAAACCTGTAGGTTTCCCCCAGGCTCTACTTTATCACATGATGGATCGAGCCCATAATCGTCTTAGCAATCTTTTGTCTGCAAACACGCAGTCTTTCCCGGCTGGAAATATATTGTGTGACACTGATCCTTCCACAAATGAAGACTATGGCAGTTTGAGAAAGAGAGGCTGTTAAAATAAGTTTTCATACAGCAATTCTAAAGTGATAATGAAACCCAATCTGGTTAGCATGTGGTCTGTATAAGCCAGTTTTTTGGCCTCATGCTTGCTGTTCTGCCAACTGCTTTTTAATCATAGCCTTTACCTTAAGTCGTTTTATTACCAACACCACTTAGATCAATATCATACTCTTCTGCAATCTTGAAGAGCTGATCTCTAGTGCAATGATCCAGAAACTCCTCACCTGGAGCATCAACAAAGTCCTGTACCCCTGCCATACTAGACCAGGTCAAAGGCCACCCAAAACCAGACCGTTTTCTAGGTCAACTAGTGCCGTAAAAGAGACAATGATGTCGCCCAAACTAATGTGGAATTTCCTCTACCTAAACTGCCTATACCAAACTAATCTACCTCACTGAACCCTAGTCTTCATGCAGATTAGTGGGAGGCTTTTTAAACACGTAAACCAGTAGCCTGGTTAAGCCCCCAGCAAGCTGGTTACTCACTTGACAGCTACGGATGTGTCCCCGAGACAACTGCTCTGACCGCACACCACACAAAAATAACAAATAAAAAAAACAAACCAACGCAGCCACACGGACCGCGTTGCTTCACCTATCCAGGGACACTCCACAAAAGTCAACGAACACACTAGAAGACCACGTACTCACTGCTGCCAAAAAATGCATCTCCCAAACACAGAACCAAATATCAGCCTCAAACCAATCAATTTGGATGGACGAGCCCCCACTTGTCACAAACCGGGCCGAACGGTTGGCCTCAGGTGCTTCCACTCTGCCTGACGACCCTCTGCCACACCCACCTCCACACCTGCAAGGAAGGCAGCCAAACGAACAGGCAGAGAGGGTCGTCACATTTGTGGGTTGTGGAGTTATGGCCGGGGGGTAAATGATTGAACATTTTGGAAATGTCATGATAACCAAAATGCTATTTTTGCTGCAACAAACACATAACTCTTATGTCTCATGCTCCTTTTTATAAAAGAATAAGTAATATGACTGGTGTGTATTAATTTATTTTTGAACAGTCACATTTGGTTGATAGTAAAATGCATGTTCAGCTTTACGCATTTACATTATCATTTAAGAGACTGATTTGTTAAGTTTTGCACAGAATCTTGTTACTTAGACAAATATGCCAGTGTTTGTTCAAAGGATCCAAATCCCACAACATATCTGTCACAATATACAAATTTGATTTACAAAAGTGTGTAGTATGCTTGCAGTATACCTCTAGTACAAAGGTCACATCAAAGTCCTCCATTTGTCTCTGGGTTTTCTGCTACATCCCCAGACCTGTTATGAAATGAAACTGGATAACCAGACATCAGTTATTTTCTTCATGTTTGAAAGCGTAATAGGCTAAATAGAGGTTCCTATCTTATCATTGGTTTACAATTGTTTGTCTGTGCTGCTTGTGGTTAATTGGGATCATGTAGCAGAGTTTTCTGTTCTTCAAATCCTCCCTGTTATTGGTTAACTAATGTTTGCAGGGAGTGCTAAAAGGACAGTGACCACATCCTATTGCCTTCTCGGCTTTCCTCTCTCTTTTGGAGAGACTGCTCTATGTGATCATTTCTTCCAGTGGACGAATACTCTGGATTAAGGACCTGACAGCCACAGCCGAAAAAGTAATTTGTTTTTCTACCTTTTGGGAAATTTTAGGTCATAAACCGCAGGCACATATATCATAAGTCATTTGAATAATAGTAATCGAATGTGTCACACAAATTCATATTTAAAGCAGGATAATCAGTTTTAAAGGAAGAGCCTAAAAGTCACATCCTCAGCCCAGAAGCATCGCTTAGCTGATCATATGGCGATAGAGTCTTACACTATCAGACATGACAAGGGTGAAAACATTTTAAAGGCCCAAATAATGCACATTATATCGTCCCAAAAAAATATATCCAGCATTGGAGATGTAATGTTTGTTTTTCTGTTTGTGTGGGAATGTTTTTTTCCTTGTAATCTGTCGCCTAAAATACAGTATCTGCATGAACATTGATAGAGGCTTGAAACAAAAACAGGAATTACTTGTTTGCCAGGAATGAATCCATGACCTTGGTCGTGTGGGGCTGTAAATAAGCTCCACGGTGAACTCTAGGAGGGTAGAAAGTGGCTCGATAAGCAGAGTTTTAGCAAATAGGAGCTGGGAGGCTCCTGGTTGTAGCTTCATATTCAACAGATAAGACAACATTTTAGGTGATCAACTCACTTGTTTTCTTGCAGAGAGCTGGTTGAGAAGATTGCTTTCTTGTGTTTACTTTAATTGGAGTCTTGAATAGACACATTACTTGTGTTTAATGAAGTCATGCATGGGCGAGAGATTGGATGTAATTGTTTAAACATGAGGACGGTAAACAGAGAGGGAAGAAAGAATGTGAACGAGATCTCTGCCAGGTTTTATACTTCTTTAAGTGTAAAAACTCTTGACTTGAAAGGTGACCACTGCTTTGCACATCACCTCACAAGCTCATCTTGTTGACTACAAGAGTGCTTTTGGTTATATTATAAGGTGGGTATCATTAGTCCAGTGAAAGCCGGACACACTCACTGTTTCGTCTTTTATTACCTTGTGTATGAGATACTGCTGACTCAACCAATACCATTAAATGAATGCCTCTTTAGCAACGTCTCTTATGGTGCTATTTAGCCATCTTGCTCTTTCATTCCACTTTGGTAAATGACTCTCATGTCTGTATGCTAAATATGAGACTACAGTAGAGCTAGCTTAGTTTAGCTAGCCTGGCTCTGTGTGCACGTAACAAAATCTGTTTCCTCCTGCTTCAAGTCTTTATGTTAAACTACGCTACAAAGCTGCTAAGCTAACCGGCTCTAGCTTCATATTTAGCATACGGATATGAGTCAGTCCTCTCTTTTAACTTTTGGCAAGAGAGCTAATGAGTGTATTTCACAAAATCTCAAAGTATTCCATCACTACACAGCAGCAGTTACATTTTGACTTAGTAGTTAATTATATTATAGTTGTGTGAGAACAGTTCAAGTGTCTGGACATGTTGATCACTGAGTAGCAATAAGTGTGTTGATGGGAATAGCAGAAGTTGATGGGAATAGCAGAAGTCGTCTTTTCTTTCTCTGAAAGCCATGACCCCAAATTATTGCAAAAGGATTTTTTGTTCCATCTGATAAAGGAGGAATGACAATAAGCCAATCTTAGACAATATTCTATCTTGGCTGTGGTCAAGATGTGACCCAACTCGGTACTTATATTGAAAAATTGAGAAGTGAAAGTGTTGTTCATTCAGATGCCCTCATCTGCCTTTGTATGGGCTCTATTAGTATCCCATTAGCACTTGTTTATTTCCTGCTGCCTGCCCGCCAGAGCAAAAGCTACCTTATTGAGCAGATACTTCTGCTATGATTCAGATGACAACAATCAATTATTTATTTTGCCAGAATAATATCTGGCTCTGGTCAGATGATGGGGATCAAACATGGAAAATCTGCTTCAAGATATCAGTCATTCTGTTCAGCAGTTTGACGTACTGCAGGCTACTGGGGATAAGGATACACTTGTTAATGCCATGGCTCAATAGAATTTCTCTGCATGCTAAATTAGATGATGTGATCGCTTGCAACAGGTGAAAGACACACATTTAGATTAAGTTCCATTAAAGTGGGATTCATGACTCAGCTTTCATGGATAGTAGGGTTAGAAGCTATAGGCGCAGCACAGGTTTTATCCTGCGGTTTACAATCTCTGGTGAGCTACTTTTGTACAATTGAGTCTTTGCTGTCTCCCGGTATTGTCACTTACATGTGAAATATGAAGTTTTATTAAAGCCTGAAGTACAGAAATTGCCCTTCTGTCACAATTAATACAAGCACATGATATTGTTTCCCTTGTATCCATCACCCACTGATCTATTGTACCTTTAAGCTCCTGGAGTGGACTTTAGTAGGAGCTTGTGCACAGCACAAACTGTCTGACTATACACTCGAAGATCAAATGCCAATTCCAGTAACGGACTTGATGGTGTTGCTGCTCGTGGCACTGATTACACAACCCATACAAATGAAGGAAATCATTTTCATTGGAGCATGTCTTTCTGTTATCATGACAGACCTGCCACTCAATACACTTATTTGCCAGTTTGATGGTTAATTACAGCATTAGAAGAATGGGGCCTGACCAAGAAAAAGCAGGAAAACCCCAATCATAAAATGAATGAGTCACGTTTCAAACCCAAAAGGATCAAATTCATTTGGGTGTTGCTTCATCTTGGCAACTAGACTTGGGATGTACAGTGAAGCGAATGCTTGGACGTGTGCGGGCGTGCACATTTAAATGGGGTCTTTTCCCTTCAGGAACTCGGCTCTTTACTGGTTGACAAACTGTGTGCTTCCCAGACAGGGTTAGAGAATGGAACATTTCAGATCCTTGCGTTGTTTTCTGTGGCTACTGATCATTCCATCTCGTAAGTGTAATGTAAACGAATGATCTGTGGCCCAAGGGCCATGAAGTGCTGCCAACTCACCAGGAATCCCACACAAGCTTAGAAAAAGCAACTATGATCCTTAGACACTTTATTTAGCATGTGTGTGTGTGTGTGTGTGTGTGTGTGTGCGTGCGTGTGCGCGCATATCTTGGTGATTGCTTGTGTATGTATTTTATTCTCCTGGCCCCAGATGGAGAACAGTGGGAGAGCAGATTGTATTTCCTGCTTGATTCAATATTAATAGATCGGTATGCTACTCTGCCACTATCTCTGCAGGGCAAAAATGAAAGACTGCCTCCCCTTAACCCCCCCCCCCCCATCCACCCTCTCTTACATTGGCTCTCAGCCCAACAACTGATTATGTTGGCTACAAGGCCCTGTGAATATCAGGGCGCAAATAAAAGGTAAGATCCGAGAGGAAAACTAAATTAGCAATGTAACCTGAGCAAGAAGGGCAGGACTATGGATCTGCTGCCACACAACAGTTTCCTGTGAGAAGCCACGTCATATGTCCAAACTGGTATTGAGGATAACATACAGGACTCATGTTTATTAAGTTCCTTATCAGAGTATAAGTTATGCACCTATTGAAATAGGAACTTCTTTTCTTAGAAGCTTGAACCACCTCATTCATTTGTAGGAACACCAGTGTGTGAATCTCTTATGCCACCTCTCTACGCTGCTCTTGTTATTAGTGCTCTTGGGTTTACAATGAGATTGACAGCGAGCAGTTTGAGGATTACATTCAACAATTGAATCTACTTATACATGGCCTTGGCTGTACATGTGTGCACAGGAACATGAGGTGACAACTCCTATTTCCTGTGCAGCAATGCATCGCAATGGCTAACAGAATGACTCATCAGTCTCCTTAAAATGATTTTAGTGATGGCGGTTTTACTTGGTCACTGACACAAGAATATTAATAAAATGGTAGGTCTTATTAATAACTGACAATTAGAGGAGTTAAATTAAGGTGACAACCAGGTATTACGGTATTTATATGTTATCACAAAATAATATTGGTTAAAGTGTCTGAAAACTTGAACTGTTGTCTCTGTTGAGATCATGTTTGAAACACCTATCACATGGCATTTGAAGTGCATGATTTATGGAGAGAGCGAGTTTTGTTTACTTCATATACACATGAAAGTGTTCATTGCTTCTCTATGTATGCATGCATGAGCCTGGCTGATGAGTAGTTTTCCAGTAGACATTAGTGTCAATTGCTCCAGTAGGTGTGTGATGCTTTTCCAACATGATCTTGGACCAATCACAATAGACATACAATGTTATTTATTTATATCTTTCATACCTACAAAATATTAATTCATCCAATTGATTTCCAATGGCAGGAGTGTCCAAACCCATCCTGAACCTTTACTCATTCATCATTTAAGAAAGAAACTCAATTAAAATGTTTAACGGACGACTGCTTTTGGTTCTTTATCAGCTTAGTTCATCTTTTTTTGCTCCTTTCCATAAATTCCTTTGTAAGTTGTATGCATTTCTTTCTCTGCAGCCAGGTTTCAGGAGTGATTATGTTTGACCACCGGGGTTTTCTGACTTCATGATGGCCGAAACTGTAGAAACCGCCTCATTGGATACAAGTAATCTATATACACTCAACAAGAGTCCAAATTACAGCTTGTGACAAACAGTTTACGGCTTGAGTGGATATGAACATTATCATCCTGGAAGGTATCAGAATGAATCAAGGAGCAAAGGGGCTTACACTTAAGTAATGTTTATCTGTAGTCCTCCAAGGCATACTGAGAGCTGAACATTTCAGAAAAAAGCAACAGAGCCACCAAAGACAGTCACTTGATGGTGGTGTTTTCTATATTTAGACTATATACCGACTTGCAAAACTATTTAAGGTCTGTGGGATAATGATTTGCAGTCTATTTTTTACACCACTTATAGTTAGGTCTTTGGATTTCAGCAAACTCTAAAGACTATACCACTAAAAACAAGCCTCTCACCTTTACAGCCAATCAATACATAGTGCTGGAGGATCACAAACCATTATGGTTGTTGTGCAGGTGGGTCCATGGCGGTGTACACATTACTGCATCTCTACTATTGCTTCTGAACATGGACTGTTACAGTTGGGTGGAGGGTTGACGTGTCTGCAATAAATGCAGAAGCAATGCCAGCTACAATGCGATGTTTAACAGCTGACGTGTAGAGAGGGAGCACCACGTGAAGGACCAGATGAAAAGGTGCATTCATTTAAACGCTGTAAAATCGGGGGGGGGGATTCACAGAGATATCCCATGTGACTGTGGCTGGAAAACTGTGTTGCTGTAGAACAGAAAGCTGCGGCTGCTGCCACCGCTAATAATGATACCGTTAATGGAGGGGAAGGCTGTATTTTGTTCTGCCAGTCTTGATGTGAACTAGAGCTGGTGAGACAGAAGGGGAAACACGCAGTCAGACTGGAGATCTTGAGCTTAACGTTACAGATCCAGGACACTTCCACGGATTTCATCACGATGGCTTGGAGAGGAGGGAGAACACGGTCGTTCTATCGACCAGTCCTTTATTTAAACTAAGGCTGATTGTTGTTTCTGACCCGAGGTCTCGGAAGAGAAGAAAAGGTAACATCTATGATCCCACCAATCAATTGGAAGCGACAATGAGACGCCGCTGCGCCGTGTTTTAGTCGACAGTGCTTGTGGTGGTTAATGTTGGCGAACCGGTGGTCCATGATTCTCCTAACCTCCGCCGGATTACCTCTGCATTGTTCTTGTCAGCCTTTGGTACACTCTGTGTGGTTTCATATTATTATTTATCTTACGTGTGTGGACTGTTTAGGCCACGGGTAGCGCTTGTACCTAAGCTCGCCTCTGGCCACACATTTTCCCAACCAGAGGTGTTCTTTTACGCGGTGGGCCTGTCGACCGGATCAAGGCAAACATCCCGCTATGCCAACGTAGCGTTGTTAGCATAGCGACCGGCTAAGCTAACATAACGGTTAGCGGCTTTAAATTCGCTGTTCTTTTCTCTACGTTGATGGTAAGTAGCCAGTATCCAGCAGTTGTCATACATTCGCGTTACAACGGCAGCGTAAACAGAGTTTACGACGAACCCGCCCGGTAATCTCACGTAGACATTGGAGAGACTGAGGTAACCTAACTTTTAGCGTTGTGTTGTTGAACCTCAAAGTTCCGTTATGTTTGTAATGCTAGCGGCTAAACTATGTTTTGCCGTTACCGTAGCTCGCTCGGTGAACTAACGTTAGTAACACGTGGAAAGTAACGTTAGATACACGGCCTGAAATGCAAAAGCTTTTGCAACTGTGCATAAGAAAGGAGATGTTTGGAGCAGAAAGGCGCTGCTGCCACTGAAACCCGTGACACACTTGATGTTGTGATTAAAGCGCTACGTTTTAAGTTACTCTGGGACCATTACAGGCGTTTTTTTCTGCTGCTAAATCACATGTTCTAGTCTTTTCCTGACACGGATATATATATGTTGTGTTTTCCATTTAACGCTAGTTGCGTAAAGTTACCGTTAGTGTTGATGTTATGTCTCAAGAAGGCTAGTGAATCCAGAAATTCAATATCCGTAGGAGGAAATAACCCACTGCTTGATCTCAGCCGCATGCTTATGTGCATTTGGATAAATTATACTTAACAGTAAATACTGTTCAATGTACTCCACAGGTGTCTATTTTTCCATGCCTAGTCAGTCATTTCCGGTAATTTTTTAGGGTATAAACAATTTGCAGTTTATAGTCAACCTATATAATTATTGGTTGTTGAGTTGTATTATTTTATGTTTTATGTGTGGGGATAAGTAGAGTATTAACGAGTTTCATTTGAACCTGGTGGATTGCATCTGCTGGATTATGAGCTGCATAGTGCATGATTTGGCAGAGGTTTTACAGTGTTCTCTGAGCTCCTTGTACACTCCTTGTACTAAAGCTTTACGTTCCTCACTTGGCTGTGTTCGTTCTCACAATGACACAACAAATGTATGTCTTTATGCAACATCTGAGAAATTCTGCACTGCATGTTGGGTTTCAACATTTTTAATGCAAGATGTAGATTATGCTGAAATACAAAGCATCTGGGATTGACAGCAGTTGCACAGTGCTGGGTTGCGGTTCATACGACTGTAGATGACTCAAGCTAATTAGCAGTTTGTTCAAAACATAGGCCACACATCAACACGCTGATGACTAATGGGATGTCTTGTCTGCTGTCAGGCACTGGACATGATTCACGGTGTGTAGTGTTGCCTGTATTGCTTGTTCAATATATGTACAAACTGGACAGTCCATATCTAGATCATCTGTACCTGAGGCAGTTTAGAGAAGTGCGATTAATTGGATGGAGCAGTAGTTTTGTATCCTCCCCGCAAACCAAAATAACCAGCGATGACATCGGAGCATTGAGCGCCGTTATCTTGAAGCTGTCATGCTTTCTTCAGCACTGAGGGTGTGGGTTCCTGTAAACTGCTGTAACGTTACTGTTTTGGAGACAGACATTTTTAACGTCTGCTCAGCCATCTGATAAGTTGCAGTGTGTAGCCTTCAGCACCACTCGCTGTCATGACTGTTCCACAAAAACAAAATGACCACAAAAACGGACTTTCTGCATCTCCTTTCTGCTTCTTCTACAGAAACAGCTTATTTAAGATTCAAATCAAATGACACAGCTTATGATTTTTTTCTCAATATTCAATTGAATATTCTTCAAGGAGAGAGGATGGTGTGTACAATATACCCACAGGAAGATTTTTCAGATTCAACCTAGCTGGAGTCAGACCAAAAACAATCTTTATAAAACTACCTTTCATCCAATTTACCTACATTATATTATCTCATTTTATATATATACCTTTTCCCTCCAACCTGTCTTCAATTGACTCTTCCCTCTTGCCACACTCTGTGACTGTGTGTCTTTGTTTGTGTGTTCTTCTTTGCTCTCACTGTATTTTATCGCCTTGTTGGCGTGTCCTTGCTGCCGCCAGATGAGTTTCTTTTCTGCGATGTATAAATACAATGTCCCTGTGCCCTCTCGTCATTACAGGTGATGACCTGGATGGTGCCATGTGAATGACTGAAGACCATGAAGCCCACTCACAAGCTGATGTTCGTCCTGTGCCCCATGCTGGTCCTAGGCTTTATTTACTACTCCTCTGGGAAGCTACATCTACACGTATGGGGCCAGAAGCCTCGTAAGTGGCATCTCCAGTCCGACTGTTTGTAACATTGATTCATCACCTGATCATCCATCCGTCATAATCCTTTTGAAACCTACACATTATTGAGCAAATGTGTTTAACACCTGTCCATGTTGTGCCTCTCTGTGCTGACTGCCAAGTAACCGTCCGTCTATCTGTTTGGTTTTATTGTGCAGAACCGCTAGTATGTCGAGCTGTGTGTTGGCGTCTCAAAACCTATATATCTGTCTCTGAAATTAAATTTGTTTTTCATTCACTTCACCAGAGCGCCAGATGTGGTGGGGGGGATCTTAATCAGATTTTCTTGTACAGCCAGTGTTAGTTGCTCCATATGGTGAAAAGCAGCCCATGCGGGTTGTCTCATGAATGGAAAGCTATTGACAGCTCTCTGACTTGACTTCAGTAAGAATACCTCTGTGTTAACCAAAGAGATGATTTTCTTACTCTCTTTTATGCAGCATACTTATGTTCTCCTCTGCTTTTGTAGATTAAAGGAAATGGCATTTCGAGATCTCCACACATGGATGATTGAACCAAGACTCACAAAACTGAATATGCAGTTTTGCTATACCCTTTATAACCTACTGAGGAGGCACGTCTTCCACTTCCCACTCAAAGGTGCGAGATCCGAGATTGGCAGCATTGCGATTGCCTCTCAAACTACGGCAAAAGTGCTGACGGAGCTAGCCGTGTTTACCAGAGGGCGGGTGGTATGCTTTCCGCGACGATGCTGTCGGTCGGGTTGGGGGTGTCACACTGTGTGGGTGCCCTGAAGTAGCTGTTAATATCCAGCTGAGGGGGCCAGAATATTTCTCAAAAGTCTATTTTCTAGGAAAACATTCAGAGGGAGCAATTTTTGACAAAGAAAACACAAATGTCGGTGTTTCGGATTTTGTTTTGAGAGCATAGCTAGAGGGACACCATGCTTTTTTTCCTTTTTCTATCTCCATGTGTTGGTTCATTGATATCTTCACACTGGATTTAATGTAAACATTTTGCTCTGGAACTTGAGTTTAGCGGTGTAAGAAAATATTGATACTTTTGAGTATTGCAATATTCTAGTAGTTGTTGATACTGTATCGATTCTCAAAAATGATTCACTAAAAAGTAGTGCTGTGATGTTGCAATTAATGCTAAGATGCCACTTTTCTGATTGCATAAAAGCTCAGATACTCGGATATGATTCATGGCGGTGTGTTCTTAATAAATATATTAAATTGTAACCCCTGTCTCATGGTACGTATGGCATTGACAGATTCTTGCCAATACACAGCCCTACTGGAGTTGGGATTGTTTTTTTTTTGTAGTCCCAGCCATAACCAATTTGGATTAGCCTGATGTGGCAATGTGCCCATTCCTGTCAGGCCCACTGCTTTCCCAACTGGTGCCTGTGTGCTGCAAAAATAAAGTCGTGAGCAACACTGATATTGGGTAAAGGCGATATGATGATTCAGGATGGCGGTTTCAAACCATGGCTGATGTGGTTGTGTGGGCCCGTCAGTTCACACCGCTCTTTGCTCAGTGTCAATTATCAGCAGCTTATTGTCATTGGTAATATTTGTCATGAGCTCCATTCATGTTTGACACTCCTCATACATGGTGATCTCATGTTTGAAAAGAAGCATTTCTCCATTGAAGTTACTCAACAATTTGCCCACATGGGACAATAGTATTTCTGTAGATTTGTCCTTGGCTCAAATGTGACAATATCGCCTAAATATCTGAATATACACTGTAAATTATGAAGTTTATGACAAAATGTATTGATGCTTAAACAGCTGATGGGTGTCTGAAGCAGTCAAGCTATGGAGAAGACCATTACACTGCTAAATGACTCTGATCTTTGTGAGAAAACTGAGAATCTTCTTTGGTGTCATTACTTTCCTTCCAACTCATCACTGTTCTCCAGCATTGCTTCAACCATGTGGAGAAATGAGACCTCAGGTTTCCCTCGTCTCAAGCATCGATTTTCTGCCTGTAAATGTATTATGGTACTCCCGTTGTTTTAACAGCTGACCCATCCCTGTTCTAGCAGGCTCACATTCAGAGGGTTCAACATGCATGAATTGTTGTCAACCTCGGCATTTCAAACCGTCTGTGTTGTTGAACTTGAGCCTGGTCTTCCTTTCTACCTTTTATGTGTCGTACAGTTGCAGTTTGTCCACTTTGTGGTAGCTGTGGAAAACTGCCTGACATAAATAAGTCCAGATATCATTGTTTCTATATACTTTGATTATAGAGTTAATACTTTCTTCATTTTCCCATATAGCTAGGTCTGCTAAACTAGACGTTTGTCTTCAATATTGCTAAATGACTCATCTTTTCTTGTGTTGCATCACTGACCGTACGCCTGATCAGCAGATGACCGTGGCTGTGGTTCATGTCAAAGTGATTTCTCAAGCTGGGAACAAGGTCTCTGTTTAACAAGGCTCTTGTTTTCTGTTGCATCACCTTCCAGTTTGTCTACATTTTGCCCAAACATCTACACTCCAAAGCAGTGAAGAGAAATGCTTTCAACCTTGTTTTGTCTCCTGCATGGGATTGAAATAATATGCGGTCAGTTTATTTTAATAGAGCCGCTTGACACCCTTTTTGATGTGAGCGAAAAGAACGAAGCTTATATTTTTCCTGACCTTCAGTTCAATAGCACAAAGCTAAATGAGGGGAGCTTTGAGTGCAGTGGGAACTATTGGCTTTCTGCCTCGCTGTGGTGCCAGATGTTTGCCTCTAATACGGTCAAAGGAGAAAGAGAAGCATGTGGATGGTCTCTCCTGCCCTCTGCCCTGGTCAGCTAAGCTATGCAGTCTCACTGAGAGGATCAAAGGTGGATGATCTCTCTTCCTCATTCTTGACTTGTAGACTCGGTCACAGACAAATGGAACATATAGATGTGTGTGTGTGTGTGTGTGTGTGTGTGTGTGTGTGTGTGTGTGTGTGTGTGTGTGTGTGTGTGTGTGTGTGTGTGTGTGTGTGGTGCTTGCCATGGTGGGCTGTGACAGGAGCTGGGTTTAACCAGCTGCTGTATGCAGAGCCACCTGATGGCCTGTCCTGTCCTTCTTCTTTAGCCCCTGTGTTGTAATTTATCCAGACTTGTTAAAGTAATGGCGCCTGTAGCCACTGATCGGATCAGTGCTCAATTCTTGTTTCCTGTATTGTTATCTGTTTTTCAGCCAACGGCCAGATGTAGCGTTTGCTTTTGGCTATTTGTGTTACGCTATCTTTTGACTACTTGAGATGTCGATTTCAGAGCAGGTTCATGTTGTCATTCTGAGTGGATGTTGGAGTGATGAAGGGGAGGGCCTTTTCAGCTAACCTGTGTTCTTTCAACTATAGAGTGTTTTTTTTTTTTTTTTATCCTCCACCCAATCCAGCCAGTTTCTAAATTATACACAATGGCCTGTTCGCTGTCACGTGTATCTCTAGTCTGTGTCTCATTTCACTCAAACCACAATTAAAGCTTATGCAACTACTGCACGATGAAATACAGTTGCACCGCCAGCTGAATTGCTGCGTGTGTGTATACTTAAAACATGCAGTGTTTGTTGATTTGTATTCATGCTGTGGGCGCTTGGGTTGGGAACCGGAGGGTCGCCCGCTCAATTTCGGGCCAAGCACCAAGTGTGGACTGGTAGCTGCAGAGGTGCTAGTTGGCCCCCCTGGGCACCGGAGACACCAGACCCTCAAACTATTCCCGGGGCAGCTGTATAGTAGCTGCCCACTTCTATACAGGGTGGGTTAACTGCAGAAGCAAAATTTCCATGTCTGCTGTGTTGTTACACTTGTTATCATACATTTAGTGTTTTGGTCACGGGATAACAGGTTTTTGTGTTTTGGAAATACACAGACATTATGCGGGCAATACACTTTAGTATTACGACCGTGTGCCTTTGAGACCTGTGGGACTTGTCCTGTTCAACTTTAGTTGAAGGAGGGAAATAAAGTGCGGTGTGTGGTGTACAATGCAGTAGCAGCACATTTACTTTTGAATTCAGAGCTTCCTTGCAGTGCAGTCACTTATAATGGTTTGCTTTCTTGCTAGAGACAGGAACACCACCCCGGGATGTCAAATCACACTTTAAATAAACACCTGCAGGATGTGGAATGAATGTGTTCCACCAGCCAAGCTGCTGACATTTAGGCCAAGAAGACACAACTTACAACCCTCTTGAGTTCACCCCTCAACTGAACTGCATCAGTTCGTGAAAATGTTGTTATGACATAAATCCATTTTTTTCAAATAATGATTCTCTGTGGAAGTCTTTTTTTTTTTTTTTTTTTTTTTTTTTTTTTTAAAGTTTTACACTTAGCTCATAAACTATACGTGATGTTTCCACGCTGGTCTCCTATTCCCAGTGTCACCATCAGTGCTTGATTAGCAGTGAGATCAACAGTTGCTCAATGAGCGTGCTCCAAGTAATCCTGACCCAGCTTGGTTTTCAACATTAGGGATTGTCTTGTCTTGTGGCCATCAGTGATGCCCGATACAGTTTCAGCTGGAACAGAGTTCGATGCTTACTAACTGGGGAATTTGATCAGCCACAAGCCCTCGCATGGAGAGTCTGTGTTGTGCCTGCAGTCTATTGTAAAAGAACACAGATCTGTACAGCAAGTTTCATTGGCAGAATTAGATGCTGTGTTTATGTCACAAATTTTTTTGGCTGAAACAACATGGCAGATGTCCTCTGATTGTTTTGATCGAAGTGAGAGAGACATTTCCTGAAACCTGTGTTGGTTTTTGTCTGAAGCTAACCCTGTTCTCTATTTAAGGTCCTCAGTTTTATCCATTTGGTAAAACAAATTGTAATGATTAATCTGAAAGGTGCCAAAATCTTCGAGCATAATAAACACGGCTTTAAGTACGTTCAGAGCAAGTCACTGTAATAAGTAATTATTTTACATTCCCAAACGTTAATCTTGTATTGTTGCTATGCTCTATGCATGGCACTACTGTGGTGGTGGACTTCGGAGGATCAGCATTCAAATGTTGATGTTTTGTTTTGTTTCTGTCTGTGTGTCTGCCTTTTGTGTGCATCTGTTTTTGTGCGTAGCCACGGTCTGTTTTTGCTGACGCTCGCTGATGTCAAACACATTTTTTTTTTTTTTAAATATTCTGAGTACTTTGGTCTTTGTTACTAGTTGCTCTCACAGCTCCACAGTGATGCTCTTTGTTTAGTATCTTAACCCCCTTTTGTTTTCAGAGAGTGATGCAGAAGAGACAACTGTAGTCCTGACTAAAGTTTCTGAAGGGAAGAGAATCGCAGGTAGAGGCACTGAGACTCTGCCCATTTATACTGGGTGACTGTCAAGCGAGTGATTTTGCACTGGGGTGTTGAGGTTTAATTTTTCATGGAATATACATCTCTGCTAACTCAACAATGAAAGCTTTCCATTTTGACCACTTTCATCTACCTATCATCATCTTCTTTTGTTTAACAACCAAAAAATGTTTGGGCTCATTCACTCAATGAGTTCTTTCGGGCAACTGTCAATATATTTCTGCCATGATAACCTCGAAGCACAATGGGGGCTCTCTGCAGTTAATTTTCCACCTCATTGGGCTTTCCGCCTTTGAATAAAGATTGCAAATCTGTAGCTTTAATCCCAGTGGGTTGAATTATAATTCTAACTTCTCCTCCTCTTCTTCTTCTTCTTGCTCTGGTAATGTCTGACATTTGCAGTTGGCATTATTTCCAAACCCAATGCTGCCATAACAGACTGACCTCAAAAGGTGCTAACTGACCATTTTGTGTTTCAGAGTTGGAAACGGACATCACCGTGGGACGAATAGTAGGCTCAGGTACATCTGCAGCCCCACCAACCGAACCCCCTACCCACCTTTTTATAACACTGAGATTCTTCAGCGGCCACATTTTGGTTGAGAAGTTAGCAATTTATAAAGATGAATCAGATGTCTAGCCCTATCAGAGTAAAGTAAATATAAGTTGTTGTTGAAGTAAATTACTGAATTTGCCACCCATGACAACTAGCGGGGGATTTAACCTCTGCTCAGTCTTCGTCCTCCACATGAAGCTGCAGTGTGATACAACACTGCCCTCTGTTGTCTTTGCTCAGTAACAAGTGAAGGAGTTTAAGAGTGTAGGTGCATAATACTGTAAGGTTCCACACAGCATTCGTCTTACTGGTAGAACCCTGCTGCTTTCATTTCTCCCAAGCTGTTTTCTCGACTTGGCCCTTTGGCTGCTTTATGCTTCTCAACAGAAACATAATGCACACTCGCTCGCTCGCTCACTCGCTCGCTCATCTTAGCCGCCATGGCAAAGTCCCCATCCTCCAGGGCAGTGCTTGGATCCTTCCCTAACCAGCCGTCACGCATTCCCATTGTCCTTTTCTTTATCTTTCTCCTCCAGCTTCTTTGTGAAGACAAGATCCGCAACCACAGGAGTAGTTCCACGCTCTTCCTACTTTCAACTAAGGCTCATGTTAAACGTAGTCCTTTGTCATGCTAATTACACCATTTTACTGACAGGAATTGAAATAACCGTTTTGTAGAGTCCGTAAGTATTGTAGATTATACGACACAGATGCTCAAATGACTTCATTGAGATTGACATTCTCATTTCTTCATCAATATTTACCTCTGTGCTTCTTTGTCTTCTACCTCAACGCTTCACCGGGCACCTATAGGCTGCCCCTTTGGTTGTCCATAGGTGATCTCTAACTTCTTTTCTAACTTTATTTTAAAATCAACAGATTGTTTTGGCTGGCTTCTCCCTAACCTTGCTTGTTTGTCACAAATCCTTAATTCTAATGCTTTATTTTCTTTCACATTCGCCATTTTGTTTTCCCCCTGTGAACGATGCACAGGTTGTTTACAACTACAGCCAATGAGCTGATAGTTGCAATTATGTACATTGGATGAACAGCTCTAATAATCCAAATATGTCAAGCTTCCAGATGCCGTGCTGTCTCTTTATGTTTTGTAGATCTGCGTAGTAATTTCCATCTCTGTTCTCGTTTTTTCCCCCCCAGTGTATGATAAGCAGGGCTTTCTGCTGCAGCTGGACACAAAACTGTGAGTAGAAGTCTTTCTAGTAAACACTTTTAGCAACTCTCCATCATGTACTGCGTGGGATATGTCCAAGTTGTTATATTTAGAACAGCTGAATTCCCAGTTTGACTCTGACTCCATTAGTTCACCTTTGTTTTACAGCTTGTTCAAATGAATACTTATTCATACAGGTTTGGGTTGATCAATTGGGAAATATAAAAACATAAACCTTCAACCAATTAATCTCACTTGATTTTTGTTAAATAAACACATGGCAATCTCAATAGGGATCTAACCAAAACCTGGTGACAAATGTACAGATTTAATTGGTGGTCTGAATTTAGACATTTGTGTGAGTTTCGATGTACTTGGTGTTTTATTCCAGAGCGGCTGTGGTCTGTCAGGGTGAGAACATGCTACATTGAGTCATTACGCAGCTGTCATTGTGTCAGCGTGTCTGTTGATATGTGTACAATTCCCTGAATTGGTTTGACACTCTTGCTCTAAACTGCCATGATAAGGCCCTCTCTCTGGCCCTCCCATTACCCATGCAGGCAATAATCACATGCTCCCATTACCACCCCAACTCTCACAGGGCACGTCTGTCCACACTCTGCGCACACACAGTAAGCACTACGTCAGCACACACTTCAAGGAGGTTTTCACATGGGTTCAGTTTATATAATGCAACTCCTTACATTATATCTTTGGTGTCATTAATTACTCCATTAGAGCACATGCGTACAATAGCGCAATTCATCTTAAAGCTGGGAATTAGTTTTGTGACCTGCTGGTAGTCTGATGGAGAAGTGGCCCCGAGATTTTATTCCCATCCAATCACTTCCCAGCTTCAGGCCATTTAAGGCCAAGCTGCAAGTGAACAGCATTCTAGCATATTGAAAGATATTATATTAGTGTGAAAGAGTTTTTTTAAATTGTGCACAAGCAGGCCCCCAGCCAACTGCCAACTCAGATTTCGGGCCGCACATGGAGCTAAGACTCAGGGCCTCCCTCCCTTCTCCCTGTTTATTTGAACTAGATTCATGGCATTCATGAGGTTATTAATGGACATGCTAGTAATCGGGAGGTTCTAGTTTTAGCACTGCCAGTGTGATTATTTGAACAAGGCCCCTCTGATTTGTCTCGTCACACGCAGGTGATCTGCTGAGCTCTCCAACTTCCTAAGCGACCCGTTTTTCCCTATCTCTCAAGCAAATTGTTTGACAAGCTCAGTTTTCGGGGCTTAGAAATGTGTCCGCGATAATCAGTTATCGTGATGTGTGTGATTAATAGCTCTCTCTCTCTCTCTTCTTTTAATGTGCAGGCCACCAGAGTTGGCATACAAGTATGGCAACATCAGCGAAGGAGTGTGCAAGCCAGGATACGCAGCAGCCAAGATGACTGCCATCTATCCTAAGTGAGAAGGATTTACTCTCTTTGAATTTTATATAACCGCGTTGAGACGCATTGGATTCAGGCAGACTCCTTTTTTTTTTTTTTTTTCTATACTTGCTTTAAGAACTTCACTTGCACAATCACAAGCTTCACAAACAAACCGTTTTATTGGATGTTAGCAGGAGAAAAACAGAAACTGTCACCCAAGCATGCCAAGACGCATGATGTCACTTCTCAAGCCAACTTGGCCTTGAGGGTTTGAGTCAGAAACAGAGAAACCGTACATTCCTCTCCAGTCTTCCCCAGTTTTCTATCATGTTTCTATAATCTTCTCCCCCACCACAAAACCCTGACTGTGTCCTTGTGATTCCCCTGTAACACAAAAGAATCATTGTCACCAGAGTACAAGGTCTCCGATCTTTCTCCTATCGCATCTTAGAGCCTTCGAGGCTTTCTCTATGAACGACACCAACCAACTTCCTGTCGTGACTCATCACGAGCTTCCTGGTACCCAGCCCACACGGTCCTCGCAGTCCTCCACGGCCCTCTCTGATGTCATTGGCTCTTTTGATTTTTCTATTTCCCTCTATTTGCCGCCCATCTCGGCTCGATCTATAGGGCATTGTCCCAGCAGCATTCTGGGAGCTAGGCTAATAGAGGGGCAATTTACCGCATTGCCGAACAATAGCCAATGGCACTTCAATGCAGTACTTGAACTAGTTATGGGACAGATTCGCCAACCCATTCTAAGTGTTGAACCTCATTTAGCTATTGTCTGAGGATGCACAGTTGGGTTCAAAGCTTTAAAAAAATACAGGATATCAGTTCAATACAAAATTCCAATACATTAAAACACTATTAAACTTTGGTTTATATATTCAAATATTTTAGTATTTGTTTCTCTTTTTTGTATACAATCCTGCTACCAACCTTCCTATTAAATATAACTGGCTTTCCCTCCCTGCCTGTGTGATGAATCTGCCCAAATATTCTGTTAAAATAAGATGCTCTCGAAGTGTTTTAAGTGAGGCTATCCAAACCATATGGCATAATATATACAGTATGTATTGAATAAATTGACAAACTAACTCCAAACAACAATCGGCCGCGCTGTCGGCAGTAAATTGCAGCGCTGCTTAACAAGACAGCCGAAGTAGTTTTGTGAAACTGCCCTCTACCTATCCGAGCGACTGTGTGTAACAATGTCCTCCCTCTTAATGACTTCCTCTAATCAGCCGCACGTGTCGGATCAAAGTTCTGTTCGGCACAAAACCCCAGCGGGAGCCCGATGATTACTACCACCTTCAACCCAGCCACATATAGGTCAATGACCACAATTAATGCCGCACTTTGTGTAAGCTTGTATGCAGGAGTGTAAGTGTATGGTTGAACCGACACAACCGAGCAGTTTGTAATTCATCACATCCTGTCTGAAAAGAAGTTAACCAATTAACATCTTGTTTGTGAACTCAGTCTGCGTCATATGTTTACCGGGCAAAAACAAACCAATTTAAAAGTCCTTGTTAGCATTTTACTTAAATAGGTGTGGCCTGAAGTTCAGCTGTTATAGAAAACCTACTTGACCTCTAGCAGTGAGGTCCTCTTGTGGCTCTCCCTCTAATCATCTCCTGCTTCCTCCATGTTTGTCTTCTCTGAAGCCTTCTGCAGAATACGATTTATTTCCCACCCCCCCCCCCCCCCCCCTTACCCAAAACTGTTTGCGTTGGAGCCCTAAATCAAGTGTTGGCAGTGAACTTGAAGCGGCACGGTTATGAAAATATTGCCAGTGAGAGATGGACCAAGCAAAGGAAATGAGCACAATGCGTCCCCGCCTGTTGGCTGTTTTGGGAGCCCTCACTTTTTATTTAACAACAAGCAGCCCCCTGTCTCTCTGCTTTGTCAGGATGTCAGTGACTGACTATCGGTCAGGGCTCAGTGACTTGCAATGGTCCTGTGTTATTTATAGCCCCCTCTGGCCTCAGAAGTCTTGGGTTTAATGAATCTCCATTTGTTTTGGCAGGACAGGAGTCTCTGAGTTTGTGTGTCTGTGTGTGCCACTGTCGGGTGATGTGAAGAGGAGAGCGAGTCCTACATAACTGCCTCTGCTCTCAAGTCCTCTTGCTGCTTTCCCGCTTTAAACCTGGAGGATAATGAGGGAATCAAAGACCGATTAGGGTGCTTGGAAGAGTTTTGAGCTAACCGGAAAGCCTCCCAATAATGTCTGCCATGTTTGGTCATTGTGCTTCGGAGCTCCACATATTTCTTGTGAACCCATGGCAGTGTTATGGGAACAAGCTATCCCAGATTCCTGCTGAGAAACAAGGGAGTGTGACGGTGCGTGTGTGTCCTCTCCTGATTCCAGTTTTAAATGCCTTTGCTAGACACTGTGGTCTGTTGGCTGTTGGAGCCATAATTTATGGTTAGTGAGAAGGGAAAAAAGTGTGTGTGTGTGTGTGTGTGTGTGTGTGTGTGTG